CCAAAGGTCTCGTTCACACACACGCCGGATACCTGCTGTATGCTGCTCTCACACACAAGGTAAAACAAACATTCCTGGTCTCAAAACGCAGCTGTGAGCTGATTTTCTTCACTTTTTATCCCAATCTGATGTCTCATCTCCAGTACGTCTTCAGTTACCAAGACGGTGACGTGTTTGGCTGTGTGGCAGACATCGGCTGGATAACCGGACACAGTTACACCGTCTACGGACCCCTGGTCAATGGAGGAACCACTGTTCTGTTTGAGAGCACTCCAGTTTACCCCGACCCAGGTTCACATGCCACACAATAGAATTTCCTTAGCTCAAAAGTGTTAAAGCAGCACAGCTTATAGGTAATAAGCAACCAAAGATAAAAGTAAAACTATAAAAGGATTAAAACGTGCAACCTTGGTGTGCTTTTCCTGGAGTTCTGTCTATGATTAACCTTTTACAGCTGGGTTTAGTGGTGTCTTTCACACTGGAATCTGTGAGTTTTAGTGTATAAACAGGAGCCAGGGTCACAGATGTTCACAAAATAGAAATCATTTAATATAAACATGATATTTGATCCACAGGGAGATACTGGGACATGGTTGAGAGGCTTAAGATCAACCAGTTCTACGGAGCTCCCACGGCAATCCGCCTGCTCATCAAGTACGGAGACCAATGGGTGAAGAAGTACGACCGCTCCACCCTCAAAACCCTTGGCTCTGGTATGTGAAATGTGATCCTCTGAAATAGGGAAGTAGGAGAAATGTGTGACTTATGGTGCTCATTTGTGCTGCTGAGTTAAGGTGTTTCTGCAAGATTTTAATGTGCAAATTCAGTTTGGAGCATCTATTTAGCCAGTTTACTTCAAATTTCAAAGTTTAGCCTGATTTTGTTTTGCAGGAAAGAATTCTGATGAAAGGTGAGACACACGTGTTAATTTAGGAAGCTCCATGCAGGAACTAGTCCAGCAGAGCTTACTGCTAAAAGAAAACACGTGTGTGTGCGTCTGTTAGCTCAAGAAATAAGAGCATTTGGAAGTTTTCCACTTATTTATCTTGTATGTGCATGGAAAGTTTTGCAAAAATCATTGCACTCAGACCTGTTTGGAACAAAAAATAGTGAGCAGCTTCAAAGTGATACTACAGGATATTCATGTGCAGCAAACTCACAAGTGTTTGTATTTGCAACTGGCTGATGTTATGGTGGAAAAGGCACCCGCTGAGATTCTTGTTTATATTTCACAGAACTAAGGTTCTTGGATAAATTCAGAAACAAACTGAAAGCTGCTTCCACTTCCAAGACTGCGTCTGATATTTGAGTAAAAAAATAGATATGAGATTAAAGTAAGTGCCAACGTTATACGATTAAGGTGTCCTTGTGTGTTTGCAGTTGGGGAGCCGATCAACACAGAAGCGTGGGAGTGGTACCACAGGGTGGTGGGGGACGGACGCTGTCCTGTCGTGGACACCTGGTGGCAAACTGGTAATGAGGGGGGTTAGGGTTAGGCTTTAGTTTTTCTTTTGAATCAATATCTAAACCGTAATGATTGTTTTTAACTTTGTTAAAATCACTTGTATTTAATGAAGTTTTAAAAATTGCTATTAAAATCAAATATCTGTAAAGGATCACAGTGTAGCGGGGTATCCGCAGGTCCTTAAAAAGTCAAATGAGCTTTTCCAAATTTAAGGCCTTAAAAATCCTTAAAAATAACAAATAATCCTTAAATACAGTTTCCAAAGGTCTTAAATTACCAAAGACGCAATAAACAAGATTCTTTTATTTCTATAAAATTTTCGTGAATTTCTAGTTAGTGTTCAGCATTTTTGGTGTATGATTTTGGCGTAAGCGGAACCGTACACGTTCAGTTGGTTGTGAATGGGGGTTATTTTTAGATGAGCACATTAGCTGGTTAAGCTAGTGGGAGCTTGCGCCATGGGGAAGTGCAAGTTTAATGGTAACTGGATGGCTAATCCCACGTTTGCGACGGGGTTAGCACCATTTCCAGGCAATAGCTGGAAATTATCGCTTAAATTTGGTCAAAGTGGCCTTAAAAAAGGTCTTAAAAGTCTGAAATTTGGCTCCCTTACCCTGCAGGGAGACAGTTTTCTGCACAGGTTTTGTCTTGTTCCTGCAAACAGAAGCTTAAAATCTCCTGTTTTTAAAAGTTTTTGTTTGTGAACGTTCTTCATTTTCTGTCCGATCTGCGTTTTCTTCAACATGGCTGTGATCAGGATTTACTCACATCTGGGATCCATAAACACCAGCTGGTGACGTTTGTAAAAATGGTGTTCACAACTTTCTCATTAGTTGTTGGTCTATTTGAGCTTGTGATGAAAGCAGATCCTGTTTGGCCCAGCAAAGGACTGGTTCCATATAAAAGCACAGCTGATATAGAACCATAGAAAGTGAGCCAACAATAGAGGTCGGCTGATTTGTGGCATCTTATATATTAAAAATAGCCTAGAAATTGAGACAAACTGTAGCAGTGGCAAAAGATCGGTCTAGCTGGTCTACCATTGGCCCAACTAATTTAAAGTCGGCCAGTCGTGCTGCTCTGTTTGTAGAGAGACGTTGGGTGGGATTTTTATTTATTTATTTATTTATGGTTGATTTGGACTCTGGTTTTCTTTAGACATGAGCAGATAGAGGTTCTTCTTATTTGACAGACTGCCCCATTGATGGATTTCCATAGCGATGAATACATCACATGGTTCTTTGCTCCGATTGGCCCTAGCACTGTCCAATTGCATGCAGAGGCATTTTGAAAGACAACCGTCGATTCTGCCCCTGTGACTGAGCTCTGTCTATGGGTTGTGGCCAAACTACATATTTACATACACAGGATGTCTTGCCAGGCAATAAAACTGGTTTAATAAAAATGATGTTGATTGGGACACAGTACACCCAACTTCACTTCTAAAGTTACACCAGAACTGCTGCACCTAGCTTATAAAGGGACAAAATGTCAACATGTTGTTAATCAGCTGGTTTTTGCTAATAAAGGCAGTTCTGTGGACGGACACCAAACCCAACTAACACTATTTGTTTCATCCTCCACCCATCTTAATCAGATTAATAACCAAATGGAGCAAAACCTGCATTAATTACCGTACAAATGGCAAAAGTCTATTACTGATGATAATTAAACATCACAGCATCACGAGTTTAAGAGTCACAGATATGACCCAAATACCCTACTTTGCTAAAACGGATTATGTTGTGGTATTTTCGTGGACTAGTGTTTTCAATTAGGGCTAAGTGGCATTATTCATAAATGCCATTTGCTTGATCCGGAAGCAAGTAGTCAGTTCAGAGAGGGAAAATGAGTTGGTGTTGGCGAACAAATTTGGGTCAAACAAGGTCGAGGAGATAAGATTGGAAACATTGATCGATGCAACAGTTTGTTTCTTTCTCTAAAAAGCTAATAATCTCGATGATTAGATGTAAAAATGATTGTAATGTGACTGCAGGTCACGCCCGTTCCTAATGCCTTTGTGGTGTCATCATCTGGTGTGTCCTCATTTTTTTATCTGGTCCTCTCGGCTGATTCCAGCACTGATGCCACCAACACCATGAGGCGGATTACCAGAGCCTCGGGGGTGCATCTAATTGCATTTATTTACTTATCATGGCTGTACTTCCATAATCTGCATCTGGAGCCATGAGAAGGGCTTGTGTCATTTTCAAAAACCAGCTTTTTTTTGTTTTTTGTAAAGGACACCGCGACTCTGGTCAAATATTTCATGTTTAAGAATTTGTTTTTGAAATGCTTTCAACTTTAAAGTTTACCCCAAAAACCAGAGAGGTCAAGACTGGTAATTATGGGTAAAGTTGGAATTCAGTATAGTATAAAACTTTATCGGTTCCTGTGTAATTCAACAATGTGGTATTTGTACTAAACTCTTGTCTGCTGTTTGTCCTCAGAAACGGGTGGCATTTGCATCGCCCCAAAGCCATCAGATCCAGATGCAGCAATTGTCCCGGGGATGGCCATGAGACCCTTCTTTGGTATCAAGCCGGTGCTCGTAGATACCGAGGTGTGTGTGTGTGTGTGTGTGTGTGTTTTAGCCCTGGGAATGTTGGATGGTTGAGTATGGTAAGGAGATGAAGGTCAGAATGGGATTATAAAATAGTCACCAGCTGTGCTCTCAGCCATCAGCCAAACGCCCTAAAAAAAACAACCTGTTTTTGTTGGGAGTTGTTTTAGCTAATTTCCTCAAACTGATCCACCTTCATCAACCGTTTAACGATGTTTCAGATTCATAACCAAATATACGATGTTTATTTTCACTAAAGCTTGTACCAACAACAGTTTAATTGGTCAAATTACATTAGTAAACTGATTTGGCTGTTTTATCTCCTCCAGGGTAAAGTCTTGACTTCTAACAACACATCTGGAGCTCTGTGCATGGCTCAGCCTTGGCCCGGTATGGCCAGGTCCATTCACAACAACCACCAGCGGTTCCTCGAGACATACTGCCAACCGTATCCAGGTAGAACGCGATGTGTTCAGGGACCAAAGGCTTTTTGTTTTCACAAGAAAAACTCTGGATCCTTCTGCAGGATTTTTCTTCACTGGTGACGGCGCCTTTCGTTCTGAGGACGGGTACTATCAGATAACAGGACGCCTCGATGATGTCATCAACGTGAGTGGACACAGGATAGGGACAGCGGAGATTGAAGATGTAGTGGTGAGTTCAAATGAATCTGACAGACAATCTCACACGGTTAATCATTTATTTCAAAATCAACAATTTACAGCTTAAATTTCATTCAGTATTTAAATTTGTTATCATTTAACCAAATTTTCACTAATGGCTTCACCGTAACCCATAAAACATGCTCGACACTTTGATTGTGACGTCTTTGACAGAATCAGTGTTCTTTGGTGGCTGAGTCCGCCGTCATCGGATACTCTCATAACATCAAAGGACAAGGTAAATAACGCTCTTCTTTTATAGTAAACATGTTTGTTTTTTCAGTGTACAAACACAGTCAACAGGCCTCTTCATTTATCAGGTGTGTATGCCTTCGTGGTGCTCAAAAAGGGCGTGGAGGTTCAGGAGGCAGATTTGGTCAAACAGCTCAGCAACATTGTGTCTGAAAAAATCGCCAAGTACGCGTCTCCGGACTTCATTCAGGTATCAGCGTTCCGATTATTAACGAGAATTTAAAACCGACTTCGCTCAGTAACTTGATTTGTGCCGCAGATTGTGAAACGCCTTCCGAAGACGCGCTCGGGGAAGATCATGCGCAGGGTGCTGAGGAAAGTTGTGGAGTGCGACCTGGAAGGTTTGGGAGACCTCAGCACTCTGGATGATCCCGCTGCCGTTCAGGAGATTCTTGAAGGACACGAAAAGCTCCTGAGTAAAAGATGAGTTTGGGAACAAACGTGGGTAAAAACATTCCAGTTTAAAATATAAATCTAATTTGTGCCTTAAAAGGAGATTTGGATGACCAAACATAGATTTTATCATATTTATGATTGTTTTATGAAATGAAGTAATCAGCTCGTTAGACTGTAAAACACTTTAAAGTTGTATTTCCCATTAGATCATTGCATTTTTTTTTATCAGAATTTGCTCAAACAGCTGCAATAACACCACACTGTGCAAAAAAGAAAATTTCAAAATAAAGGACTTTTTAAAAGTACAGTTTGCTGGTTTTTTGTCCTTTTTGGGGGGGAGGTTAGTTTAATAGTTAAAAATAATTAAATTTCCACTTTACCAATTAACAGTTTAGTCAGAACATAAAAATTGAAGGTGCATTTTTCCCTGAGGCTGCCAAACTGGACTGATGGCACCGTGACTGGGAGCACTGGAGCGATACAAACTAAGAGTGTTTCTGCTCTCGTTTCCCACGCTGACGTTTCCTTGCATCGGTGTGATCACGTCGGTTCTTCTCTGATACTGAGGGTCCCACCGGCTCCTTTTAACTTGATTAACTCCCATCGGCCACCTCCACACAGCTTCAGCTGAACATCGTGGTACTGAAAGAATAAAACAAGACTTCACGTCATTTTGAAGATTTTCTTTTTGAAACTAAATTAAATGGCGAAAAAAGTTCCTTAATACTAAATATTTTTTTTCAGCCGTGCATGACGATCCTATGGAAGAGGATTAGAGACACTGAAAAGAAAAAAGATTCTGCTGAGATTGAAGTCAGAATGTCATGTTCTTGTAGGGTTGGTAAATTGACGTTACATTCCACAGTAGCTAAAAATAGATTGTGATGTAATGCAGCAATGCATTGTGGGATGTAGCCCTAGACAAACTAGCATGTATTTTGCACGGGTGCCTATGGGTCTGAGTAACTCGGCTTGTCTCCAAGTTTTATTTTCCTCTCAAAGATGTTGGAGGTGCTAATCGGACTCTAGATACCCGGATCGAATGTCAGAGGGGACATTTTTTACCCGTTTTCCAAAGTCAGGTGAGGTCTGCGACAACATGAACAGCTGGATTTTCAGTATGGAGCAGATCAAGGGGTGCGCGTATAATTGTTTCACACTGTTGTCGGTTGGAAATGTCCTACGTCGGAGAATGATAAGCCGATACAACTAGGGTCTGACCGATATATCGGCCGGCCGATATTGGGGTCATTAACAGTATCGGCTATCGGCCAAAAAGATGGCAGATATTGCGCTACCTATCCAGCAGATGGCGCTAGCTTTATGAACTCGTGTGGCTCCACTCCTTTGAACTTTGAACACAAATTATTGTTTTGGAACTTTTTATTTTTATTTATTCTTATTTATGTTTCTTATGTGCAATTATTTCCTGTCCAGGGTGAATAAGTTCACCAAGTTAACTTCCACAGAGTGTTACTTTGTTACAAAGCACACGTATTACGTTTTATTTATTGCTGCATTTTTATTAATTTAATATTCTTACAGGGATCTTCTGTCCCTAAACGTGTGTGTGTTGTTTGATTCCCGAGTTAGCCAAGTCAGAAAAAACATTTTGTAACCTGTTGTTTTGGCATAAAGCAATGGAAGGGAAGGCTTGCATTGCACGGTGGCGCAGAAGTTAAGTGCTCGCCCCGTAATCGGACGGTTGCAGGTTCGAGCCCCGCTCAGTCTGTCACTGTCGTTGTGTACTTGGGCAAGACATTTAACCCACCTTGCCTGCTGGTGGTGGTCGGAGGGACCGGTGGCGCCAGTGCTCGGCAGCCTCGCCTCTGTCAGTGCGCCCCAGGGCAGCTGTGGCTACATCATAGCTTATCACCACCAGTGTGTGAATGGGTGAATGACTGATTGTGTTGTAAAGCGCCTTGGGGAGTTCCAGGACTCTAGAAGGCGTTATATCAAATACAGGCCATTTACCTACATAAAAACACTACAGTGTGTGTGAATTCACTTATATTGTTTTATGCTAAACTAAGAAAACCAACTGCAGCCAGATCTTATTGGGCTGGTTATAAAATGCTTTATCTGACTTGTCTAACTCTGGGGAGTCTTAACAAGACACAGTTTTACTGAGTGGTGGAATATTCCTTTAAGTTAAAATGTATTTGTGGAAACCACAGTTAACAAGAAAAACTTCAATGTTAGATTTATGCTGTGACTGCGTTTGTGTGTTCTGTTGTTTTTGAGATCTGCTAAATAAATCTTATTTGCATTACTTGGAAACCCGAGTGAGTTATGGAGACAGTTCTTTGGTGTGTAACAGAGAAATAAGTTAGCATCAGAAAGACAGAGAACGAAGGGTTTAAGCGTAAGAAAATTTTTTCTTTTTTGTGTGAGGGAGATGTATCGGCCATTATATTGGCTATCGGCCTTTGTTAAAAGTTTTATATCGGTATCGGTCCCAAAAAAAGCATGTCGGGCCCTATTTACAACGCTGTCAAATGTGGAGTTATCCAGGAGGCAGTGGTGTAAACAAAGGTCCAGCTGAGCGTCTGTGATTCCAAACGTGGGCAAAGAAGGCTTTTGACCAGAGGTGGGTGGTGTGTCAAAAGTAGTGACGAAATAATAACCCAAGAGTTAGAGAAATGTTTCTTGAGCACTGTGAGTAATGAGTAACTGAGCATAAAACTTTCAATTTTGATTTTGATTTTTTTAATCCCCATGTTTTTTCAGCTGGTAAATGTGGTTTGTTTGCCTAGCACCCCGCAGCACTTGTGCGGTGACGTCAACTGTCGAATACGCTATTCTGAAAAAAAGAAGTCAGAATCCTGAGACTAATGTCAGAAATGAATTCTAATTTTCTTTTCACCGACGCTAATCCTGTTTAGTATTTTTCTCAGATGTCAGAATTATGTTTTTTTTAAGTCAGAATTTTTTTCTTGTTTTTCTATTTTGTGGCCCTGATCCTCAGAAAGGTCAGAATACTTTTTTTCAACTGGCCTTAATCATTTTCCGTACTGATCTTTCTTTTTAATTGCGAGTCCGCTCCAGAACTATTTAGATCTGAACCATCCTCCAAATTTGTAGAAGTTGAATCAGTTCCCAATCCCAGTAAGTTTTCATGTTCAGGCTACCTTTTCCAGGCTGCTACGGTGTCCCAGACTGACCAAAGTCATGCCCAGCTGTTTACACGTCCGGTACAGCTGTGCCTCCACTTCCTCAGTCAAAGCACTGGTGGCTTCGTCTAAAACTGATGGATTAAACAGAAAATGAAAACATGTTCCACATTTCTGGGTTGGTTAGTGAAGCAGGAGTTTGTAGAAACGCACTGGCATATTTTGGCTGCAGGTAGAAGAGTCGTGCAAAGGAGAGACGCTGCATTTCACCTGGAGACAGAACGTCGTACCTGAAGAGGAGAAAAAAACAAACACTTTCAGGTTTGGTGTGAAAGCACGCCGGATGCTTTTGGTGTTTTGGTCCATACCAGTTCCAGTCCACCTTCTCATCCAGCCCACCGGTCCGCTTCAGGAGGCTGGACTGCAGAAAATGATTCATGTTGGATTTATTATCAGAAAGAAATGATGGAATTGTGATTCAAAACTTATTTTAAAAAAAATAGAACTCACCACTCCAGCAAGTTCCAGGAACCGTATAATCCTGTCATCATCCACTGACCCTGGAAACAAAAAAGATGAAAGTCCATTTTTCTCTGTTATAAAATAATATGACATCTTAAATAAAATCCTTTTTTCAGTATAAGTCACAGGTGAAGATGGCCTTTTCTATTCTTTATCAACATGGTTACCTGATGCAGGGTAAATATCCTTCAGTGGGTAGATAACCTGTTGGGAGACGACACAGAAAATAACTCGGTTGTACGTTTTTTGTCGAAGACATCTGGACACTGTGTGTTTTGACCTGTTCGCGTAGAGTCCCGTCGGTCATGTAGGGTTTCTGCGGCAGGAAGAGGGTTCCTCTGGGCCCGAAGCACGTGGTCATCTGTATGAAACCTAAGGTCACAAAGGCAGAAGTGAGGGCAGCTTTTTAAATTGTGTATTTTTTAGGCTCCCTGAATGCTTTAAAATAAGTAAAAATGATTTTTTTTCCTGATGTTTCTTATTAGTAAAATATTACAGATAATTCTTCGTTAAGTTTAGCTGTAAATCTCACCGCTCTGTGCTTCCCAGAGGCGGTTGAGGACCCGCAGTAGTGATGTTTTTCCAGTGCCCGTGTTCCCCACCACCAGCAGGTGAGTGCCCTGACTGATTTTTAGGCTCAGGTCTTCCACTAGCAGCTGGTCCGAGAACGGAGACTTGTAGGACAAATGGTCCAGAATGAAGGCCGTGTCGACAGGGCCCGCGTGGACATTAAAGTCACTGTGTAGAAAGTTAACATGAAAAAAAGATCTTTTTTAAAAACAAAGCCTGTTCGCTAAACCATCTCAACCTTATAATGACCTGTCAAAGTCGTAGCTCTCCCCTGATGCGGGGTCGTAGTCGCACTGCATCCGTAGGATGTCATCCATCACCTCCATCAGCTCTCCAATCCTAACCAGCAAACAGATTCAGTGACACAAATCCTGCTGCTCTTCTGTATTATGTAGCTCAGAGCGATACCTGTGGGTGTATCCAGCCACGTCTGACAGAGTAGTTGACAGGTCTATTAGCTGTGTGAAGCCATTTATCAAGTAGATGCACACAAAGGCGTTCTGAACACAAATGATGCTGAATTAAAGGAGTAAAAGACAAAAACAACACCGGGCCACACCATTATAGTAAACACATTACTCCTACAGATGTGGTGCTATAAATCTGACCTAAAATGTTTATAGAAGTATGAACTGGCTCCACCAAGTGGCTAAACTAGAAACAGCAGTTCTAATTTCTTTAGTTACTCTGCAATTTTTTCTATTAATTGAATCCAGAAAGTAATTATAAGCCGGATTATATCCCAAACAACATTTAATATTTTTTTGTTTCACTAAGAACCCCGGTGTTTTGCAATAAAGAGATAAAAACACTTGATATTAACGTGAAATGGGTGAAAGTTCTGCCATTTTGTTATTGTTCACACTGTAAAATCTAATTAGTTCAGCTTACTCGAAAAGAGCATGCAAACTGATTAAGATTATAAGTACATGGGACTAGGTACTTATGTGTTTTACAAAGTAAAATGTACTAAATAACAAGGTAAATTAAGACAAACTAGTGCTAATTACTAAGAAGTTTGTTTAGTTAACGATTTTTCTGAGTTGCATATACTTCAGTAGCAGTAAACTAAGTAATTTTAAAGTATGTGGTACTAGTTTGAGTTATAGTAACTTACATTTAAGTGTATTTTACTTTGTATGCATTAGTAGCTCCAGCACAAATTCCTAGTGCCTTGTACTTGTTATTTTAAGTGGTTCAGCTTCAGCTACATGTTGATAAAGAAAAAGGTCAGTTTAAATAGGAAAACAACAGCCTACCTTACTGATCAGTGCACTAAGTTCACCAGCAGTGAGACCGTCATAAATACCGGTGAAGATAGGAATGGCGATTATGATGTAGCTGAGGAAACCTCCGAGGTAATCAAAGGTGTTCACCCCAACTGAGACAAGATCAGTCACAGATTAACCCGCCGGTCGGTCAGAAACAGATGTGAGTGGAGCGCGTTCAGGTTCTTACTATAAAGCCACAGCTCTTTGTTGATGAGACTCTTCTGAGTTTGAAGCAGTGCCTGAAGTCTTCGGTCCGTTCTCATGTGTTCCACTATTCCAGCTCTAAAACAACACAAGCATTATTCCAGACTGCTTCTTAGCGGGATCCAATGTCCATACGGATGTGTTTTTGTCATGAAGCTTGGATGAATTGATTTGATAAATTAAAGGCACACCAAGTAGTTTTAGCTAGCACCCCCTAGATTCCGTTATTAATTCACTTTAGTAAAACCGAAAGTGAAACTTATCGTTTTTCCTTTAAACCCTTAATCTAACAGCTGAAATGTCTCCTCAGCCTTCATTTGTGTCTACAGGAGCGGTTCATCACTAAATAAAACAAATCAGCTGTGGTCATGATCTAAAACATGCAGGAAACGTGCTGGAAGCAGACTGCAGCACCAGGCATGTCAGCTCCACTTTTCTAATGACTAACAAGGACCGGTCCAGACACTCTGAAGTTGCAAGTGAGGTATTCTGGCTACAGGGGGAGTGGGGTCTGAGTGACATTTCATTAAGCCTGAAAATGGTATTTTAGCATCAAGAAAATGATTGAAAAATATGAAAAAGTTGCACAGTGTCCCTTTAAATCAAATATATGGAGTTTTTCCCCCTAAAAAGGTACAGAAAAATGCAATGCACTTTAAGCCCCTAATGATGAGCAGCACTCAATTCCTATTGCATGGGGCTCTGCAGGATGGTGCGGACTTAGCAAATAAAAATCGACATATTTATATCACAGTGCAGGGTCAGACTATCACGTTTACGGGTTTTTAAAAAGCCATAATTCCTGAAAGGGGACACATTTCCGGATTGCTGCTTAAATGCATGTGTTGCACATGAAAGCATCAAACAAATGTTGTGTGTGCCTCACCTGTAGAAAGCTGCAGACTCTGCATTGACACGGACTTGCATGTGCTTAAATCTGAAAAGGAAAAAAGCTGCAAATTTTATCTGTAAACAGGCTTTTTCCTGATTGACCCAAAGTGTAACTCGAGTGGAAAGTGATGCACATCCTGTTCCAGAATCCACAAATACTTCCTTTCAATTAAAGACAGACTCCCATCATAATAAACAATGGGGCTTTGGGCTCTGCGTGTTTAAGGTACCTGAAGTCCCCCTCCAGTTTTTCCTGCTCAAACAGGGTCGACACAATCGGACCCATGAGGATTTTATTGGCGATAGTTCCAACAACAAAGTACCCAAAAATACTCACAGGACCGATCCAGCCAGTGCTGCAAATTAAAAAGATTTGTTTAACCTCTTAAAAATACAAATCTGTTGCACAGAACATCAAAGGTATACCACTAAATATGCAGATCAGTGTTAAATAAAGAAAAAAAGCAACAAAAATATTCATTAAATAACTATTTTCTACATCTCGTGGTACCAGAATTGCACTGACCTGTGAAAGCACTGGTAGGTGTAGTAAGAAATGGTGAATGGTGAGATGATCAGGCGACTAGCCATGGTGCTCATCTGCTTACACAACCGCTCTACATCCTGACTGATCCGCTGGTCTCTAGGAGACAAACACATTAACTCTAATAAGTGCAAAAGTTATTCTGCATTAAACATTGATCTTTACGTTCAAACAAAACTGGAACAAATTTATGCATAAAACAAAAAGTGCAGATTAGAGTTCATTATCGGACGCTTACGGGTTATCGATGTCCTCTCGGAGCACGTTGAGTATGTAATAAACTCGGCCCTGGAAGTAGGACAAGTGGAGGCTCTCCGTCAGTGTTCTCCTCCAGCTGACATACATCTGATTACAAATGTACTGGTCCAGACTTTTCAGCTGAGAGAGGGGGAAAAAACAGCATCAAGACCAGTTAAACAACCAGAACGATCTAAAACATTAACTATAATCCAGACAAGAAAGGATTAAATAATTCTATAAAAATTATCATTTTGACATGTAAAATTTCATCAGTTTTGTGAAAAGTTTTGATAGTTCAAGTATCACAGATTGGAAAATCCAAGTGAACACAAACAATTTCAAGTGTGTAAATATGGAGAATAGTCGTGTCAGGCTGCCCTTGTAAAGCTGCTGTTATTGGACCATTTTAAAATGGAACTTGTGCAGTAAAACTTAATAAATTATTGTTTTTTATATCTTAAAAATGACATTTGTTTGAATTGCACATGGGTAAAAGGTGCCAACTTAAGTACACTTTTATGTGCACATTTTTATAACAAAAAGTATTTAACATGAACAGAAAACACTCAAACAAGCACTTCCTGTTTGTGTATGTTTTCTTTACATTTCAAAATCCATCCATCCATCGTCTGAACCCGCTTGCCCATGCAGGGGCACGAGGGGCAGCAGTCAACAGGCAATCAGACGGGGTACACCCTGGACAGACTGCCAGTCCATCGCAGGGCAACACAGAGACACACAGGACAAACAACCATGCACACACACACACTAAAGGATAATCTAGACAGACCAATTAACCTGACAGTCATGTTTTTGGACTGTGGGAGGAAGCCGGGGTACCTGGAGAGAACCCACGCATGCACAGGGAGAACATGCAAACTCCATGCAGAAAGACCCCAGGCCGGGAAGTGAACCCAGGACCTTCTTGCTGCAAAGCAACAATGCTAACCACTGCGCCGCTGTGCAGTCCCACTTTTCAAAATAATAAGGAAAAAACCTCTGGCGTAATCTTTACTGATTTAAGCTGAATCTATGACGATTGCTTAGATCGTATCTAACTTATTAACACAAAGGATGGGGTCCAGTTTCTGAAATGATTAACCCAAAGCGTGCCGACTGGTCACAAGCTGCAGAAAGCGATAAAAGGGACAAAAAGTTGACTCTGGTCAAATTCCAGGTTGTAACAATGGAACATATCTATTGGATGTTCTCCTTGTTTAATCCCAATAATGTTCCCATTTGATCAAGGAGTCAATTAGCATCACGTCTCACCGCTAGATCAACTTACTGTTGAGTTGAGTAAAATCAGCACGACAGCTGTTCCCACCAGACTCCTGAAGCCAGAGTCATCTTTGTCTGCCAGCACGTTGTAGAAATGACTGGGGAGGATGCCCACTTGGTAAATGATCAGCTGCTCTGTTGGCAGAAAAAGACTCGTTAGCACATTATTTCGTCAAAAAGAAAGTTCAAATGGAAACTCGTAAAACAGGAAAGAGGTATGGGGCAACAGTTAGAGCTAAAGCAGTTTACGGTCATCGATAACAAACATTTTCTTCAGTAAAAAGAGAGAAAAAAAGCTGAAGTTTCAGTCAATTTTCAACCAGTTTGACCTGATTTAGATAACTTCCCCTGTTGGTGTGACAGTAACTACCCTGCACAAATTCCTTGAGTAACTGCAGGTTTTACCCGTCAGAGTCACACCAAGTAGAGTCCCAAACATCAGGACACTCTGGCTGCTCCATGATGGGAACAGGACCTTCTGGATGCCACAGAACCTCTGAACAAACCTCCAGTCTAATTTTGGCCTGAGATGAAAGAAATAACGGTAAAAGAAAGAAGGATCTTGCAGTTCATATTTGATGATACAATCCTTTTGCTTTACGTCCACACAAAGCCAAAAGGGAAAGCAGACATTGTTTTAGAATGACGTAAAAGCTGAGATGAAACAGTCAAAGCTACCTGCTTGTTAGCTTGTAGATGTAGATTTATTTACCTTTTTGTCCTTCTTCCTTTTGACTTCTCCGACCGAGACATCTGCTACAACACACGGGGGCTGATATCTCAACCCCTCAAAACTAAAGATTTACATAAATTATCTGGATTTTATGTAAAATCACAACGTGGCAAAACCGTCAAGGTAGCTAGCGCATGAATTATAATGAAAACAAATCGATTCAGAACACCCACGAGCGATGATAGTACTTAGCTAGTACAGGTACGAATTTCGTCAAATGTAAATTCAGTTTCTACCACTTGCTGCTGTTTCAGAGCTTCGTGGTTAGTTTTAAATGCGTAATAGTTGATTTCTGCGCTTCTGCTTCAACCGTGTGCGCCTTCAAAAGTGACGTTTTGGTCCGGAGCTGTCAAACTGCGGACTTCCGGTTTTTTGTGTGGCTTCCTTTTTTCAAAATAAAGGTTTCTAACATTTAAAAATCATACCTTATTTTAACATCCTTGACTAAAAAAACTTTCGCTGTTAAATAGGAACTAAACCTATTCAAAAACCTTTTTTTAGCCTTAAGTAGGCACCCTCATAATCCTTATGATTTGTTGTGAAAATACATTTAAGTCTGGTAAGTCGTTTAATTCTATTAAATATTTTAGTCTATAAAATATTTCTTTAAAAATATCTGTATAATCAGTTTTATTCATTTCTAGGACGAAACGAAGTACTGAGTAATTTATTATCAAACATATGTCAAATTTACTGGTCCAGTGACTAGAAACTTTACATTATTTCATGGATAGGTTTTTATTATTTTTTTGAGTAACCGGAATGTTTACTCAGAGTAAAAAAAGAGAAAATAATGGCAACACAATGAAAAAACAAGTGGTTCTTATGCACATTTATTTGTGTTATGTTTTGAAAAGACAAGAGGAGAACACATGATGGTCTAATGCTGTCATGACAAATGTTGGGAATGAATATTTTCATTTAATGTGAAAATTAGCCATTAATAAAACAATTCAAACCAGTTCCAACAATAGAATCAAAGTTTATACATGCTGTGTTCAATAAGAAGAAATACCTTTGGAAACATTAACAATAAATAGTTTTTAAAAATCATAGAATTTGGGTTTTTCATTTCCAAAGCTACATTTCAGATAACACAGAGCTAAAACCAGTTATCAAAAATATCTCATTTGTTATTCTCTTTATTCAGAATAAAAATAACTTTGTTTTTATGGTGCTGGAAATACTGAAAGAAAGCTAATGACAATGTCATGATCATTAATGTAAAAAATAAAACAAATACCTAAAATTTCTCTCTTCTTTAAAACTAATTTGTAAATTCAGACTTTGTGTTTTGATTTATTTGTAGAGTATTATCAATAAAAGATATTCTGATTAGAGAAATAAACAATAAATCTGACACACACTAAGGTCCAGGTAACACCTAAACATGTTAACAGGTGAATTTTTAAAGGGTAATCCACCTTTTATTGTCAAAATCCTGATTCTCGAGGATTTTACATCCCGCCTTAAGCCAAATGTGACAGATTTTCTTTGTAAATATTGTTACAAATAACAAAAGATGTTTTCGTTCCATCTTTGAGAAAGGTATTTTATAAACTGCTGGAAGTTGTTTTTTTGAATCTATTTATAATTAAATGTATTAGCAGAAAGGGAATGAGCGTTTCCCAGATAAGAAATCAAACCCAGATCGATTCTAGTGTTTTTAGAAAGTGCAGGTGTGTTACTAACTAAACTTTGGAAAAGGTAACACTCAGATCAGGTTTGCTGTTGTTTTTTGAAAGTTTGGAAACAATCTAATCTGTTTCAGGCAGAAACAAGAGAATGTTTCCAAGTTCCGTCGACGATCCCAGCGTCAGGACGTATCAGGCAAGGTTCAGGATCCCGAAGAGGACGGGCACAAAGCAGACACAAACAAAACCAACCACGCTGTAGACGATGTAACGGTACGGCAGCTCCACCTTCATGTGCTGCCTCGCCTGCCTGACGTCATCCGAGGGCAGCCCGAACAGCCGACACAAGAACGGAACGGTCACCGCTTTCATAACCATCCTCGTTACGAGGAGCACGACGACTCCAACGAAGAAACGCAGGAGTGAACAGAGCACGAGGCCCGCAGTGAGTGGGCGTAACGTTAGAGGAAGTGAGGAAAGTGGTGGATCCTGCAGAAGCCCCAGCTGATAGTTCACATGAGTGGCCAAAGCGGCTCCTGCCCCGGTTCCCAGAGCCTGAGCCGTGTCGCCCCGAGAGGTGCTCCACGAATCCAGAGAGAAGGCTACGAGCCCCAGGCTCACGTGGGACACAATAATCATGAGTGGAGCGTAGTGGTCCATCATGTAGTAGGTGTCGATGCTGTCCAGGAGGGGCTGGAAGAAGGCAAGAACCAGGAGGCTGTACAGAAAACCAGTGATCACTTCCTGCAACACACACAAAAACCAGAAATGAGTGGAAAAGCAGAAACATTTTAAGTTTTGTACATTTATTTATTCATAATCTTGAAATAAAAGAATGAAAACTGTGCAGCTTTCTGCCCTGAAGGTGGCGCTGTGCTGCACTTGTTCAGTCCGACCCTCCTCACAGTCAACTCAGAAAATCAGGTGAGTTGTTTAACCTGTCTGCTGATTGGACAATGCAGAACATTAACCGTATCTATGAAAATGAGCTGCCAGGTCACATAATCTAATCTAATCTCACCTTTAATTAGTTTATGGTCTCTATTTTCCAAGACTCTGGTGTTCTAATAGAAACAACTGAATAAACCAATGAATGTTTTGATTATTCATCTGCTCACCAGAACAGAGTGCATTCCCATGTAGACTCGGCTCACACAGACCAGGACGCTCCAGCTGAGAGCCACGGAAAACCCGAGCAGGAAGGGATACTGCAGGAGAAGCACAAACACGTTAGCAGATCCAAGATCTTCTCTTCAAATCAGCTGGTACTTTTAAAGAAAGCTGAAGAAACTAAAGTAAAATTAAGCTTTATATGTTTAATTTATACACAAATATGACTGAAGGAACTATTTTCAGGCAACACTGTGAACAAAAACCTTCCATCTGCCTGGTTCAGGCAGGTTGAACAGCTCAAAGCCTATTGGCGACTGTCAAGCCTTTGAGTCGCCGAGCAGCTGAATAGGGGAATAATGTTGACGCGCCCGCTGTTCCGCTCCAAGTCAAAGTTCCAGGTTAAAAATTCCTTTATTTGTTATTAAAGCCTTAAAATCCGTTGAAAACAGTGATAAATAAAAAACATTCTAAGCTTGAGCGGTCAGCAAAAAGTTGACTTCCCCCATCACCCACTCATTCTCCCATTCCATCACCTGCACAGGTGATAGCAATCACTATTATTATTACCGACACCATGTGACCCAAGGCAACGCCTATCCACAACATTCCGGCCCCTAATTATTACATTCTCACAGTAATAATTACACATCTGACACCATAACTCATATGCTACATCACAACACAGACACCCAGTGAGACCACATATCATACTCAAAAGTCCAGCAAAGTTGTTTTCTCATTTCCTCTCTTCCTTTCTTCTGTCTGCACACGGTCAGTCAGTCATAGGCCAGAGGTTACCAGCACTTAGCCTAAATATAGTCAGTCTGCGACGTACATCTCATAACGAAATCAGTTCAAAGTTAGCCATGTCACATCGTGTCAAAAGTCACCGTCATGGGTCAGAGGTCTCCTGAAGAAGGCATATCTTTGTAACGGGTCTGCGCACATGGCTGGTTGGGGTCTTAATCCAGACCTGACGCACAAGCCCCTTTTCATCTGGTACAGCACCGGTGACCCTCCCAATGATCCAGGAACCACGAGGTGCAGAATCATCCACTATGAGGACCACATCTCCAGGAATAAAGTTACGTTTAATCCTTCCCCATTTCTGGCGCCGCTGAAGTTGTGGCAAGTATTCCTTAGTCCATCTTTTCCAAAACAGGTCAGATATATATTGAACTTGCCTCCATCGTTTGCGTACGTAGAGATCGTCCCTCCGGAACAGACCAGGTGGTAAAGACGGGTTGGACTTGAGAAGAAGGAGATGATTTGGTGTTAAGGCTTCCAAATCATTTGGATCAGTGGATTCCAGTGTAATGGGTCTACTGTTGAGGATTGACTCCACTTCACAAAGAGCAGTTTGGAGCCCTTCCTCGTCCAAATGCTGCGTTTGGAGAGTGGAATTAAGGACCTTTCTGACAGAACGAATCAGCCGCTCCCATGCTCCGCCGTGATGCGATCCAGTTGGGGGATTGAAGATCCATTTCACTCCCTTCAAGGACAGAGCATTAGAGATCTTTTGCTGATTCCACTCTTCCATAGCTCGTCTCAGCTCGCGCTCTGCGCCCACAAAGTTAGTCCCATTGTCCGAGCGCAATTCTTGTACCTGACCTCGTCTTGCAATGAAACATCGTAAGGCGTTAATGAAAGAGTCAGTGTCAAGAGATGAGGCAACCTCAATGTGTACTGCTCTAATCGCCAAACAAGTAAAAATAACACCATACCGCTTCACAAGACTTCTCCCACGCTTCACTTCAAATGGACCAAAATAGTCCACTCCAACAAAGTTAAATGGGGGTTTCTCAGGGGTCACTCTGCTTCCGGGCAACTCAGCCATCCGCTGCTGTCCTGCAGCTCCGTGAAACCTTCTGCAGGTCACACACCTCGACATGATGCTTCGAATCAGAGTACCAGCACCAGGAATCCAATATTTCTGATGCAGCTTTGAGAGCATGTGGTTCCTTCCACCATGACCCACCTCCTTATGAACATGCTGTAGAATGAGATTGGAAATGTGAAGCTCTTTAGCGATTATGACAGGATGCTTGGAGTCTTCTGACATGACAGCCTTACTGAGACGTCCGCCAACCCGCAGCACACCATCCTCCAAAACAGGATTCAACTTATATATGTGACTGCTTCGTTTCACAGATTCTCCCCTTTGGAGACAAGAAATTTCTTCAGCGTAACTCTTCCTCTGACAGAACTTAATTATTTGCATCTCAGCAACCTCAATCTCTCCCAATGAAAGAAAGCCATGCCGGAAATCAACCTTATGTTGAGCATCTTCAGACTGAATTGGATCAGATGCAGGCTGAAAATGTATCTTCCTGCGATGCAATAACAACATCTTGAACCTTAAAATCCAACCCATCACCCTGATGAGACGAGTCCAGGATGAGGCACGATGGATTAAAGGGGTCAGAGGATGATCATCACCGTGCACTTGTGAGACGTTGATGGCAGCAGACACCTTAACTTCAGGATCTTCACGTGGAAGTTCTTGCAAATTTTCTGGGTTAACAGGCCAATTGTTCTCTGGCTGTGTAAGAAATGCAGGGCCACATATCCATTCAGTGTCACGCAAAAAGGTCTCAGCCTTCACACCTCTGGAGGCAAGGTCCGCAGGGTTATGCGTGGTGTTCACATACCTCCATTGGGAGGCACTAGAAGCCTTGAGGATTTCTGACACTCTGTTTGCCACAAAAACACGGAACCTGGAAGACTCATTATTTATATATTTCAACACTGCAGTGCTGTCCGTCCAAAAGACAGAGTTTAGGAGAGGTAGTCTCAACTTCCTCTTCCACGTTCTATCCATGCGAACTGCTACCACTGCTGCCGTCAATTCCATGCGAGGGATGGTGACTGGTTTTAAAGGTGCCACCCTGGATTTTCCCATTATGAAGGAACTGTGCGTCTGTGAGCAACTGTTGTGCAGCAACAAGTAGGTAACAGCCCCATAGCCCTTCTCACTCGCATCTGCAAAGTGGTGCAACTGAGCAGTGGTTGTCTCTCCAAAATCAGGAGGTTTTAAACATCGTCCGATGCAGATATTGTTCAACAGATGCAATTCTTCTAACCAGCTTTTCCACTCTTCAGCAACTGCTGATGGTATAGCATCGTCCCATCCTATCCCCCTCTGGCACAGATCTTGAAGGATCCTCTTGGCTGTGAAGATAACAGGAGCAAGGAACCCCAGAGGGTCATAGAAGGAGCTTACTGTGGATAGGATCCCTCTCCGAGTCAATGGTCTGTTTGGGATGGATATGCAGAACTTAAATGCATCTGACTGCAGGCACCACTTCACTCCCAATGCTCGCTCAACAGGTAAAAGGTCACGATCGAGGTCTAGGTCCTTAACTTCATTTGCTCTTTCCTCCTCAGGTATGACTGCCAGAACACTGCGGCTATTGCTGATCCACTTTGTTAAGTGGAAACCACCCTTGGCGCAAATGTCTCTAAGGCCTGAGTAAAGATTGATGGCTTCTTCTTCAGAGCATATTGAAGCAAGGCAGTCATCCACATAAAAACTATACAGAATGGTGTCAGTCACCTGCTGGCTGAAGTATGCTTTGTTGTCCTCTGCACATTTCCGCAGGGCGTAGTTAGCACAGCTTGGAGAAGACGTTGCCCCAAACAAATGAACACCCATTCTGTACTCTTGCATGCTCTGATTGAGGTCACCACCAGGCCACCAAAGAAACCTCAAAAGGTCAGCATCTTCTTCTGGCACATGCACCTGGTGAAACATAGCCTCGATGTCAGACATCAAAACAATTGGCTCTTTTCTGAACCTCGTCAGTACGCCAACCAAGCCGTTTGTTAAGTCAGGACCACTCAGGAGCTGCGCATTAAGGGAGACACCCTGGAATGATGCTGCACAATCAAAGACGACCCGCATCTTCCCCTTGGTAGGATGGTAAACCCCATGGTGAGGGATATACCAAAGCTTCCCATCGCTGCGCTCCAATTCTGCGACTGGCACTCTCTTTGCATATCCTCTAGATATGAGATCTGTCATGAAAGCAGTGTAGTCTTTGTGAAAGTCTTTATCTCGGATGAGCCTTTTCTTCAAACCTAAGGCTCGTTGCTCAGCAATTGCACGGTTGTCAGGCATTCTTATGTCTCGGTCTTTCAGTGGCAGGGCAATGCTGTAGTGCCCATCCCTCAAGGTCACCGTCTTGCTGGCCAATTTCATGAACTTCATGTCTTCCTTTGACAACCCCATCTGTTCATCATTGCTGCTCTCAGGAAAGTCTATCTTAAACTGCTGTTTCCATAGCTTGTCCAGTGTGACAGCAGAAAGTCTGTTGGCAGTAACTGTTGCCAGACATCCTGGCCTTCCACAGCATTCTTGATTAAGTAGCCCATTAACTGTCCAGCCCAGCACAGTCCTAATGGCAAAAGGTCCTTCACCTACACTCCGGATGACCTCCAAAGGTTCTAGAGCTCTGGGCATATTCATGCCAATCAAAAGCTCCACATTGGCCTTAATTTCTGGCAAATGAACATGCTTCAAATGTGGCCAGTCATCCAGGTCCTGTTGATTTGGGATGTTACCAAGATCTACAGGCATTTTATGCTGAGTGAAGAGGTTAGGCATATCACAGTACATGTCACTGTCCAATCCAGCAACTTCAAGTTCAGGTACAATGAAACTGTCCACCACTTTCTCCTGTCCCATGGTGCGCAGGAGAATCTTTGTCCTCCTCCCGTCAATATTCAGCTTACCCATAAGACCCACTGTGCAAAAGGACGCTGAACTCCCTTGGTCCAGAAAGGCATACGTTTCCACTATTCTTTGACCTCTCTTGGATTTTACTTTAACTGGCACAATGGCAAGCTTACAGTCTTGTTCACCGGCCCCAGTAAGGCCACTAGTCTGGATCGTAACTGGAATGTTATCTGCCTCATTACCAGGTTTAACTTCACTCTTCTCTTTATGGTTTATATGGAGTATACTTGCATGTCTAAGACCACAGATTTTACATGAAAGGCGTTTTCTGCATTCTTTGCTTATGTGCCCAGTACACAAACAGCCAAAACAGATGCTGTTCTTTTTAAGAAAAGAAATCTTCTCATTATGAGGTTTCTTATCAAGCAGAGCACATGACTCCAGTGTGTGTCCGCCTTTGCAGAAAAAACAAACCTTCACAGTGCTGTGCCGATCTTTAATCCATGTCTGATTCTGTCTCTCGACATCAGAGACTGTTGTAGCGAAGCTACTTCCTTTAGCTCTTAGGTGTGGAGAACGTTTCCCTCCATTGCTGCCCTTGGCTGAAAGATGTGTCGCTGGAACGTCACATAAATTTCCAAAGACAGGATCTATTGCAATTTTTACTTGACGCTCAAGGAAGGAAACAATGTCGGTGAATGCGGCTCTGCGATGTTGCCTCTCCTGAATGTCACATGCTACTGTTCGCCATTTGTCTTTTAACTTATATGGCAGTCTTCTAATCACAGCAAGCATATTGGCGGGTGTATTTAATTCAGAGAGATCGCTAATCTCTTCCATTGCATTGCAGCATCCACGTAAGAACAAACAATATGCCTGAAGAGCTTTTCCATCTTCTGATCTAATCAGTGGCCATGAGTGAACTTTGTTCAAATAAGCGGATGCAATCACATGTCCATTCCCGAAGTGCTCATACAGCAGAGTCTTTGCCTTTACATATCCAGCACTCGCAGACATATTTTGACAGCTTTTAACAAGTTCATTGGGCTGCCCTTTGGTGTACTGTGCAAGATAATGCAGGCAGTCGCCAGCATCACCAGTCTTTGCTTCTATGACCTGTTCAAACGAGCGCATGAAGGCCTGAAAATGTAAAGGGTCACCATCAAAGGTTTGAATCTCCCTTTTGGGCAGTGAAGAAAGACTCTGCTGATGGACCAACATACAAGTCAATTCATTTTGTTTTTCCATAATGGACAACAGATTTTCACTGGCTACTGGATGAGCAGCTTGTGGCTTAGGAAAAGGTGGAATTGATCGAAAAGCATCAGAAGGCCCCATAAGAGCGGGTGCAGGCTTTTCCCTTTTCATAGTCTGTTGCACTGTTTTTACTTGAAGCTCTGCATTACCAGTGATTGTGTTTCCCTTTGTAAGCATCTGTGGAACAAAAGTCTCTGCATCCGCATCAAGAATTCCATGGCTGTTTCTCTTTGTTTTCAAATATGATTCCATTCCATTAGATTTCCGTGAAGCAACGCTCCGCATAGTGGATCCAGTTCTCAGCACGTTAACCTTTGCAACAGTTGCAGCTATATCTGCTTCAAGCTGAAGTTGTTCTTTCTTTCTCCTCAATTGTTCCTCTTGCTCTTCCAGAGAGTGTTTTTCCTTCAGCATATGTTGACGTGCGAGCAAGGCAGCCATTTCAGCTTCCGCCCTGAGACGTGCAGATGAAGTAGATGATACTCTTGAGCTTGACCTACTGCCTTGATTTGACACACTGTCGGATGGTAACACATCATCATTAACATCATTCTGGGGATTAAGAGATGACTGAGGTTCTTTTCCAGGGTGCTCTAACATCTCCATTTCTCCTCCCAGGGAAGTTTCCTGTGATTGTGCTTTGTCAAATGATGGCCTCCCCGAACGTTTATCAGTTTCAGAAAGCCATATCTTAACATCCTCCATAAACCCTTTATTGTATTTAGCGATGCTTGAGAACCATGTATTTTGTTTATTTTTCTCATCAAATGAGATTAGAGAAAGTAAAGATTCATGCAAAGCACTGGCATGCTCAAATAGGTGTGTTAACTCATCAAACTGTTTTTTGACTTGTGAATGATTTGTATCATCTTTCATTAGCTCTTTAAGAGATGTAATGAGACTTTTCATTTTATTTACATGCCTTTTCCGATCTGTTTGGATGGTTTCAACTTTGTTTGCAAGGGCTTTCTCAGTGAGAGAAATTAATCTTTTATCCTTTTCAATTTTTCCAGCAACAGATGCCTGTGATCCACTCATTTTAAGCATTCAACATCAGCAGCATTCCAAATCCAAAACAAAGGCAACAGGAAATCCTTCAAACTCAGTTGAACGCCTGCAGAGCCACAGCACACACATACACCATGTCCAAGAGCAAACGCAGCGGTGGGCGTGTCACAAAAACATCCTCAAATGATCAGAATCCACACTGCGTTCCAACAAGCAATACGCAGCACAAAACACGGTTTACATACCACCGTCGTCTCCTCCTTATCTGTCAGACGAGCCGCTTTAATGGGTGAAGTGGCGGCGGTGTGTGGGCTTGCGTCGGCGTTTATTCAGCGCAGATTGCGGGCAGCTCCATTGCCGTCCCACGCAGTCTTTTTTTTTGCTGACAAATATTGGCGACTGTCAAGCCTTTGAGTCGCCGAGCAGCTGAATAGGGGAATAATGTTGACGCGCCCGCTGTTCCGCTCCAAGTCAAAGTTCCAGGTTAAAAATTCCTTTATTTGTTATTAAAGCCTTAAAATCCGTTGAAAACAGTGATAAATAAAAAACATTCTAAGCTTGAGCGGTCAGCAAAAAGTTGACTTCCCCCATCACCCACTCATTCTCCCATTCCATCACCTGCACAGGTGATAGCAATCACTATTATTATTACCGACACCATGTGACCCAAGGCAACGCCTATCCACAACAAAGCCATTTCGGGTGCTGAACTCAGCCTTTATGCTCACTTCTTGTTTTTTTTTTATCCCATCTAGAAAATTATTCTGAGGAAGAAAAACAATTTCTGAGTGCGAGTTTTTAATCCCTCCATCTAAGCACAGCAGCTTCCTATCTGCGTTTCCTCCTCTCACTTCCTTTTTTCATGTCCTCACGATTGGCCTTGCTATCGATTCTGGCTACTTCTGCCATCATCTACCTCCTGATCTCTAAACATGTCATGTTTATTTAATGACCTTCAATTAAAAAAACATCTTGCAATAACAATAAATCAATTGCTTTATCTTTGATACTAGAGAACCTTCTTATGAGGCTTTCCCTGGTATACCTCATCAATACCAGGAAAACAGGCAAACTTTCACTTCCTGTTTGGGGCGTTCGCCATTAGCGATGGTGAGTTTTCACTGATTCAGAATGACAACAATAACCCACACCTTCTCAGCTAAACTTGTTGATAAACTTCAGCTGAGAAATGTTACTTTGCTGTTCTGCAAAAGCAGGTTTCAACATCCGTTTTATTCTCAGAACAAGACTGGATGGCAGAGAAAAGCAAGGATTTGTTCTTTCAGTTACTGAAATTAGTCAGAGGCCACTGGAGGAGGAGAATTAGTGTGTGTGTTGCATCTTTTATTCTTCCTTAGATCCAGTAATCTGTATGGTCATTTTAAAAACACTGATTTAATAAATCCTGCAAATATTTGTCACTTTCTGCTCCTAGAGTTGATTTCTGACATTAGAGACGAAGAGCAACCCTGCTGCTTGCTCCAAGGATGCTATCCTGCATGTTTAGCATGCATCTCTGCTCCAAAACACCTGATTCAAGGACTTAATTACCTGGTCCTGAGAATTCTGCAGAACACTTTTGTTTAAACAAGGTGAAGGAACTAGAGCATGAAGGCCAGCGGTCCTCAGGGTCTGGATAAGAGTGTGTTTTGGTCCAGGATAGGGGTTCATCTGTGTGTGTAAACCTGAGTCACCAGGTTGGTGTTTGGAAACTCACCTGCCACCGTCCATATGTCAGCATGAAGAGGCAGAAAGGTATGGCTGTCCCCGTCATGGCGTGTGTGGAGGGCATGCTGTACTCAGAGTTGTAGAAGACCTCCACCTTCACCACAGGAGGGGAGGCCGGCCGGGACCAGCGGATCATGTCCTTGGTGGACTGTCCCACGAACAGGTTCCAGGCCCAGACCACGATGAGCCTCCTGCTGACCAGAGCATCAATGTTCCAGAAAAGGAAGGGGAAGAAGACGATGAAGAACATCTCGTTGCCCAGCTCAGTCCCAAACGTGAACAGGTAGAAGAGGAACTTGTTGTGGATCAGGAACTCCTGACCCACGTCCCCGGTCAGGGAGTTTCTCCGGAGAGGTTTAGCTCTGGTGGTGTCGTCCTCCTGCATCCCGTTAACCTCAGATACGGATGCATCTCCGTTCCCTACGTCTTCATCAGAGCTATGTCCACCATGCCGCTGCTGCTGGGACCTCTTCCTAATGCCTGCACAGTCCGAGTCCCGCTGTTCACATCCGGACTCGGTCCGCTTCTCCGGAAATGTTCCTTTGACACCGCAGAGTTTCTGAAACCTAGCTACATGGCAGGGGTCTTGGAGATAATTACAAATGTTTACGAACTTATAAACGACACCGTTCGCCATGCCGTTAAATTACCTTTTTGATAAACTATTTCAACAAATAACAGTTTTCTTTATCAATAATTACGAACATTATCAAAGAAGCGAAGCTGAAGTACAGCGATTCATTCCGCTAAACACACAAACACTTTTAGCTAGCACCTGAAGCAGAACTTCTCTACTTGGTTTCTGCATTTAAACCACCGACCTTGTACAGTGGCGTGATCGTATTGGACGGAAACATCCAAAGTCCGCGGCGGTTAACCATTACTTGACGGTATATGAGACTAATTCATACAAGCACCAACCGAATAACTGCGTCAGACCGCTAATAGTGGTTTTGCTCTTCTTCTTTGTTCAAATGAAAGTTAGCCGCCTTCTCTGAAACGATCCAACCCCGCCTTTCAGTGGCCATGTAGGGTATTACATGGTTACGTATGTTAAAGGGGCTGAAAAGCAGATATCCATTCTTCCGTTTGTCTAAATTATTTTTGTGTCAACGTTAGTGAACAACTTAAAACATTTTTTTAAATGTTCTATGAAATATATCACTGCTTTTTTCTAATACTTACTGAATAAAATATATTTTGGTTAAATAGAATAGAATAGAATAGAATAAATAGAATAGTCACTCAGCAGCAATTCAATTTGCAATAGGAGCAAAAAGGAGAGTGAAAAGTGAATGAAGAGTTAGTAAACAACAATAAAACATAGCATAAAAATACTGAAAAGATTCTAAATACTCAAAGGTTTAAAAAAATCAAAAATTTTGGATTTAAACACATTTCAAGAACTAAAAAGCTAAATTTCAATCAGATTTTCAAAGAGGGCCTGGAATTTGGGATTAGCTCTCTCAGTGGAACACCCCCAGAAATATTTATAGAGTTTAGTAGTTACATTGTAAAGGTGAAGATGTTTGAAAAGTAGTAAATTTTATTTTGAAATAATTTACAGGAAAAGCTAATTAGCTATGTCTTCTTCAGCTTTATTTAAACACTGTAGTAACATATTCCGTTCGCCAGAGGGGGGAATAATCCATTTCTCGAAAACCAGACTTGAGTTCTCGTTTCCATCAAGTTTACCTAAATAATACATTGTTTTAGACATAAATTGTTGCCATCAGTCAAATCAAATCAACAATTACAAGTTAATTTTAGAAAATTAATTTAGACAATGCAACCGGTAAAAAAGAAACTACATTTCTATTAGTTAATTGTTATTTTGTTGAAGTCGGTTACATTTCCTTACTTAAAGTAGTTTATTCTTAAATGAAAACGCTTTCATTCTTTTCCTGTTTTAAACAAAAATTACCTTTAAAAAACATTTAAATGTCTATATATATGTGTGTGTGTTTACTTGATGTAGTTGGGCATTTATTATTATTATTATTATTATTATTATTATTATTATTATTATTATTATTATTATTATTATTATTATCATGATAACAATAATAATAATCATACTACTACTAATAATGAATATATAAAACGGTAAAATATATTTTATTTAAAACGTATTTCAAGGAACTCAAGGTCACCGTGCAACAACATTAAAAAGAAAACAAGCTAAAACAGATCACCCATAAAAATTGGTCTTGAAGTGAAATTATAACTAAAAAATAAAAACAAAAAACACAGCAGTTGTAACGTCACTAATCCACCGCCAGGTGGCGACACGTTACATCTAAACAAAACCCCAAGATGAAACACGATACCGAAACTATTTAAACACAGCGTGCGACTGTGAGCTGACCAAAGCACTGCACAAAGGACAGTCATAAAAGGATAATTTAAAACTGGTAAAATGATAGTTCATGATGCTAAATTAAATATAAACATAACACTAATTACGATTTTAAATGTGACTTTCTTGTAAATTGTGATGTCATACTTTTTAAAGTGGATGGAGTTGATCAACTTTTTTTAAATCTGTTAATTTATTATTTTGCTAGCACGGCAATGTGGCTAAAATAATAACAAAAGCCCACACTTAAAGGAATAACAAGTTACCTAATATTTATAATAAAATAAACTGTTGGTAATTTGAGGTTATTTTATTTGAAAACGATGCTTTTATTTTTGTAACCACTCACCGGATGTAATATTTCCGATGATGTGAACTAGATCTTGCCAGGTCGCTGCATTCAGACTGCTGTGAAGTGGTGCTGCAGCCCGAACAGGAGATCGTTTTAGTCCAGGACCGAGTCATCATGCATGGGGGGAAGAGGGGGCTGGTGGCCCCACAGAACACCTTCCTGGAAAACATTGTCCGGCGCTCCAGCGGTGAGTTTTATCCTCCTAGACAAGGACTAAAGTGAAGTTTATGTTGTTCTGTGGGTTCTAATGTAATTCTTCTGTTCATTCAATTGAGCAGAGAACAAAATAAGTAAGCAATTCTTCAGAAAGCTGCAGTTTCACTATTATAATGACTTTTACCTGCTACGATGAATTAACCACTAAATAAAAACTAATGCAATCGGAACCGTGCAAGTTAAAAATATTTATGCCATGAAGAAAAAATACGAGTTGAATTATTAGTTGGCAAATTGCTTTGTTTTTGTTATTTTAAACATCATTATGCAGCCTGAACGTATTTAATTATTAATGTGTCTGCAGAAAAATAAATAAATAAATAAAATGCATATTTTTGCACACATTATGTTGCTGCTCAACAATTTGCTTGCGTTTCATGGCTTGTTTCAGTGTTTATTCTTATTATCTTTTTTTGCATGAATAAAAAAATATGCACGATTTAGAAATGTTCCTGTTTCATTCATTGCAAAATTAAACAGGAAATTTGAACATTTTAACTGTTTTTACTGAGGAATTCTGCCCTTACAAGAGTAGATTTTTTTTAAAAGTGTAGAATCAGTGAATACAACTGTAATATGATTTAAATTAATGTTTAAATTTTCATCTTTGAGTCCAGTAAAGTTCCAGTGGTTAAAAATCTGTCTCAAATAATCACAAAACTAATATAAACTTGATTCAATAATGTGGAAAATAGATGTATTAGTTTTTGGTTGTAAAACATATCTAGATGTTACTGTTTTATGATAAAATAAAGATTTTGGAGCCATTTCTGAAAGAAAACACTTCTTTCTCCATTTAGAGGACAGCTGCGTTCTACTGTAACGCTTTCAGTATTAATGCTGTTAAACGTTCCTCTGGCAGACTGACAGGCTGTCAGGGAGACTGAGAGGAAATGCGTGAGCTTCAACTGAAGCATCTTCAGACATCTTGAATGAAACATCAGGAAAGTTTTTGAAAAGCTTGTATTTTATCACAATCCAATGAGATAACCTGAACTTTTCTAAATGCAGGTTTCAAATTTATCATCAGAGAAACCAAATGAATAGATTATGATTTTTACATCTGGTATTAATGTTTCTGCATTTTCCATTTAACTTTCAAATGTTGTGCAATTTAAATTGGAGAAGCGATGGTTTCGCTCGTTGTGTCTCTCCAGCCTCCAGACTGAAGATGAAGAACTTTTAAGCTTCCATCAATATTTTATTTGCATTAAGGGCAGAACATAAATCCTTCATCAGCAAATATTTCTGCCCCGTGACTCGTCTGATTGCTTAAAACATTGATGAGTTTGCTTATTATCTCTATTGTATTTGGCAGCTGAAGTAAATATAAGTGGTTGGAAATTGCTCATTATTATTATTGTGATTTTAACTGTTTCATTATTTACATTTTTAGCAAAATCCCCTAATTACCACAGAGCAGGTTAAAGACCACACAGATATTTCTTCATTTGCATCGAAACCTTATTTATTTTTAAAATTTATGCACTTTGAAAGCCAAAACGTGTCTCCTTGAGTATATTTCCAGCTTTAAAAACATCTCCACTTTGCTCCAGAAACCAGTTTCCTGTTGGGAAATGCACAGATTGTGGAGTGGCCAGTTGTGTACAGCAATGATGGATTCTGCAAGCTGTCTGGATACCACAGAGCTGAGGTCATGCACAAGAGCAGCACGTGCAGGTACGAGCCCATCTGTCCTTTAAACGGTGGTAAGACTGTGGGCTGTTTCTTAGAAAATGTTGCTTGTTTGAAAACTTCCATTCATAATTTATTACTGCACATGTTTTATTTTTTATAATAAATCTCGATGACTCTTAGAAAAGTAAAGGAAATAAAAACACAGAATCTGATCTCTAAATAAACTGCTTTTTATATGATAGTCCTGATTGCAATGCCAAAGAAATAAAAAGCAATCTAGTATTATCTTTGTACACTGTTAAGAAGGAAATGTTGAATTTATTTAATCAAGTTATATATATATATATATATATATATATATATATATATATATATATATATATATATATATATATATATATATATATATATATATATATATATAAAGCAATAGTAATGCACTGAAAATGCGGCCACTGAAATTTTTTGGCCGAAAATGATCCAAATATGTATTTTTGATTTTCGGCCAAAACACCTAAATCACCAGAACAACACAGGTGAAATAGACCGTCAGGTGTGGTTGTGTGATCTGTGCTTCACTAACATTATTTTTAATAAAAAAATAATGCTCTGGGGCAAATTGTCTTGATTGAACAAAATGTGATTAATCAAGATTAATTAATTACAAAGCCTCTGATTAATTAGATTAATTTTTAATCAAGTGCCACCCCTTATTTAAATATAAATGTTGTGTCCTCTGTTTAATTTCCTCTTTTTTCCTGTGTTCCAGCTTTATGTACGGTGACCTGACCGACAGAAAGACTACAGAAAAAATTAGACAAACCTTCGACAGCCATGAGTCTAACTTCCACGAGGTGCTTCTTTATACCAAGAACAGTGAGTGTAAGAATGTGTTTTTAAAATGTTTTAAAAAATTTTACTCCTCGTGTCTTAAGATGTCTCATTCTGTTTCCATCAGGAACACCAATATGGCTTTACATGCAAGTCGCTCCGATCCGAAATGAAAACGACAAGGTGGTGCTTTTCCTCTGCACCTTCAGAGACATCACACTTTTCAAACAGCCCATCGAAGATGAATCAGCTAAAGGTGAAGACGCCTTTGTTTTTTTTCCCAGACACACTTTTTTGTTTTACACTAAAAAATGAGGGTCCATCTCAAACAATCCAGAACTACAACTGTAAGACAGCTGAGGGTGAAGTGAATCCACAACTCTTGAGTTCACATGGGTGACTTTACAGACATTTGTCTCCTGGTGTTTAACACAGAATTGTCCAGGTGTTGCATATTCAGGTCAGTGAACACAGCTCTCTAGGGTCCACCCAGGACCAGGTCCAAGTCCCTGGGGACTCAAGGACAACGGAGACTTTTAACTGACATCAAGTAGAAAGAAAAGACAGTCAGGCGCCATGAGGAAAGCTAACAAGTTTCACAATAAAAGCAGAAAAAACTGAAATTCTTCCAGTGTATTTATGTTCCACCACATCATTCCTGTACTGACCAGTTTATATAATCTCAACAAATAATTAAAATGTTTGTGTTTTCGTAGGATGGACTAAATTTGCGAGGCTCACGAGAGCACTTACCAACAACCGTAACTTGGTTCAGCAGTTGGCGCCTCTAAACAAGACCGAGGTCAGCCACAAGCCATCCAGGCTGGTAGAGGTGAGCAGAACCTGCTGAAGTGATGGTTCAGATCTTTTAAAGTGGATTCTGTAGAAAGGCTGAGAACAATCAACACTCTTCTGCGGCATATGGCAGACTGCCCCGTTGACTGATTTCTGTCACTAGGAATATACCTTATAGTTTGTTGCCCTGATTGGTCCTAGGCCAATTGTGTGCAGAGACAATATGAAAGACAGCCTTAGATTATGCCCCTACGACTGAGTTCAGCCTATGAGTCGTCGCCAGACTATTTATTTACATTTATGGGATTGCTTGCCAGGTTAGTTAAAAATCAGGTTCTTGAATTTATTCCAGCCTCAAAAATGCTTAGATGTTGAGGTGAATGCTAATTTATAGAATAGCTTTCTATGGTTATTTGCAACATTAGCAGATAGCAGTAGCATGGAGCGTTTCTGGATACAAAATCATTACATTTCTACACAAAGAACCAAGAATTAAAAAAATTAGGGTTCATGGTATTTTTTACACACTGGAGTTGCTTTACATAGACAAAATATACTCTGGTCTTAGCATTGCTCAAACTAGCAGGGTAGTCATAAAAATCTATGTTTCTCTAAGCTGAGGCTATTCAAAGAGCTATAACAGGTATGATCATTTTTACAGAAAAAGATCTGAAGTAGATCTTAGAAAAACATGAGCACTAGTTTGTTTGAAGATCCTGGTTTGATGTTCCCTCTCATTGAAAGGCTCTTCAGCTGGGATCAGATATTCTCCCCCAGTACAAACAAGAGGCCCCTAAGACCCCCCCTCACATCATCCTCCACTACTGCACCTTCAAGACCACGTGGGACTGGGTCATCCTAATCCTCACCTTCTACACCGCCATCATGGTGCCCTACAACGTCTCCTTCAGGACCAGACACAACAACCTGGCTTGGTTGGTGGTGGACAGCGTTGTTGACGTCATCTTCCTGATTGACATTGTTCTGAACTTCCACACTACATTCGTGGGTCCAGCTGGGGAGGTTATATCCGACGCCAAGCTGATTCGAATGAATTACCTAAAGACGTGGTTTGTCATCGACCTGCTGTCCTGCTTGCCCTATGACATCATCAACGCCTTTGAAAATGTTGATGAGGTGAGTAATTATTTCTGCTACTTCATGCTGTACGAGTGCTTTATTATTAACTGTCTTTTCCTTGTTGTTTCCTGTGAAGGATGTGATCCCACACGCCTCTCCATCGAGCCATCTCCGGGACTTTTCCCATTTCCACAGAAACACCACACGGGTAGAAGACTCTGTCCTCCCAGTATGTCTTTCCTGGTGAATATTCAAATGCATTAATAGCGTGTTATATCCAAAAAGAATCCCATATCAGAGGAATCGGAATGATGTCACACATGACTGTGGAAAACCAGCAGGATTTGCTAGTTGTGCTTCAGGAACCAGGCACTAACAGTCTATCGTAATGGAACATGTTCGGTATTTGAGATTATAACGTGAACGAGTGATTTATCGATGCAAACCTTTTATGCACTAGGTGGCCATATTGAATCAAGGCTGGTGAAAAAACTCACATTTTCTTATGCAGAATTAAAACTTTGGAATAATTCCAGCAGATTTCTCTGACTTAGAACTCAAGAACTACAACATATGAGCAGTAGCAGTTTTTGATATGGGCGACCTGGGCAATAGCCTAGGGCAGCATCACGAGAGGGGCAGCAAACCATACCATACCATACCAATTTATGTATATGCACAGTTTTAACGATAGCATGGCAGCTAACCAAAGTACAGTACAAAAGAGCCAAAGGCTTGGACACAAACAACAGAAACATAGCAGAAACTGCTAAGTTAGCTAGAACACATAACAGGCATAGCATAAATAATCAAGCATAAAATACGTACTAAAAATAACAGTCAAAGAGAACAAGTAAAAGCACTATCCAAAGTAATTAAGAAAATTAAATCATTAAAATAAGTTAAAATTACACAAATAAAAACCAAAAGGGCCACAAATTGCTGCAAGGTACAACAAAGTGTGCTTAAAGGCTAATTAAGAAAAGGAAAAAATGCGCTAAGACGGACACAAAAGAGGCTTTAGTACAGTCCTTCAGTTTTTGCGTATGGTGTCATTGTGGAGTAGGTGATAATATCTGAATGGGTAATTAAAAAAGGTAAAAAAAAAAAAAAAAAGAAGAAGAAAAATAAACTTTTTTCTCAGGAGCATGGTGCCATGACAACATGCCTGTGTGTGTGTCTTTTGGAAAACATGGGCACCAATCAGAAGAAAGGGTGTTCGCCCAGGGCACCAAATGGGCTAGGACCGCCCCTGCAAATGAGCACAAATGGAACACACTATAAAGTCTTTGGAGACCCAGAACTCAAATTTTAGTCTTTAACCAATAACTCCTGTGAATTTTTTGTCCAAACTTTTTACGCAGAACAAAAATGTTCAGGAACATGAAATCAGCTGTTTGAGACATTCGAAAGGTGGAAGACTCGTTTGTCGGATCACTGGCTGAACAAAAAAAACAGCAGATCAGCTTTTGTAAAAGGTGTTGATAAGAGGTAAACAGAGGACTAGATAACAGACCTAAATTCAGCAGGTGGACACAAACGTGTCTCTGTAATAATAATCAGGGTTGGACCCTGTCTGTCAGATGTGATAAAAGTTTTCTGTTTAATCCATTATTTTCTATAATAACATCAAATATTGTTTTTGCTTTCACCACAGGACCAGAAATCATTACTTATTCACACTTCAAACACACAAATATTGTAACACATAAAAGTTTGTCCCTTGTCCATGTCCCTGTAGGGTCTCAGCAGCCTCTTCAGTTCCCTAAAAGTGATCCGCCTGCTTCGATTGGGCCGAGTGGCCCGAAAACTGGACCACTATCTGGAGTACGGTGCAGCCGTCTTGGTCCTGCTGGTGTGTGTCTTTGGTCTGGTGGCCCACTGGCTCGCCTGCATCTGGTACAGCATCGGGGACCACGAGGTGATCGACGAGTCCACCAACAGCATCAAGACGGACAGCTGGCTCTACCAGCTGGCCTTGAGTATCGGGACGCCTTACCGCTACAACGCCAGTGGGACGGGCCAGTGGGAAGGTGGTCCCAGTAAAGACACCCTGTACATATCTTCTCTCTACTTCACCATGACGAGCCTGACCACCATCGGATTTGGCAACATTGCTCCGACGACAGATGGGGAGAAGATTTTCTCCGTGGCTATGATGATGGTGGGCTGTAAGTAACTTATAAACATCTGAATATTCTTTTATTTTTAAAAAAAAGCTATCCTCCAATCAAGTCACTTAGAGATACGGTGATGTAACATCACCGTAAAACATGGTTGAAATGCTGTGACCTTGATTTCAGGTATGAATGCAGGAAAAACAGTTTTAAAACAGAGGAAGCGTTTCTATTTCTCTGTCGGTTCAGTCCAAACAAACTCCCTTTGGCTTTTTGTCTTGTTCATGCATGAATAATGTACCAGCAGAGCCAGGGTGAACACACTTACAAGCTCACTTGGAAAGACTCCCCACAGTCCTGCTGGCTACAAAACCACAGCTGATTTTACATGTTAAACAGGAGCATCTGCTCAGATATACACAAATCAGCCGATGATCAATACACGTTAATGCTGAATTTGTTAACAAGCACTTACTCAAAATCAGTGTGTGTTTGTTCTTGTGTGTGAGCGGACAGCGGATTAAATCTTGTTCTCAGATACATCATAAACCAAAAGCAGCCTTTTATTTTCATTTCACTACAGTTTGAACCACAGAGCTGAGGTTAGGACTTGTCTTTGCTGATGATAAAATGTGACATGCCCAGCGCCCATCACCGCCTGCTCCGTGATAGTCTGTCTGAAGGTTCCTCATCACATCAGAAAAGCTGTGTGTATGAGTTAATACCTAATACACTACAGTCCAAATACACCTCTCCTTTTAAAAAGGTGGGTATTTTTAGGATTTTGGCTCATTCTCATCACAAAACTATGTTTTTTTTTTTTTCAGTGTACTTTTACATTGTTGTTCTGAGCTTAATTTGTAACTGGCTATAAATGTTTAGTTTAGGACAAAACGGCCAAAATACTATGTCATAATTTTCTGTCTCTATATTTAAACATAGTCCTAAACACTTAAATAAGTAAACACTTAAATAAGTAAATAAACAATTAAACAGTTAGCTAAGGCCAATATTGTGCAGCCCTTGTGCTAACATATTGATAATTAACCTAAAGGCAGTGTAAATCAGCAACTCACTGTTAAAGTAACACAGAGCAGTTTCCTGCTCCTCCATCCTTCTGGTTGAAAGTGGAATTAGAATTGTCGTAAACAACCCTGCTGTAGCTAGTGCTATACAATGAGCTAACACTAACAAGAGCAAGCTAATACTGTCGTAAACAACCCTGCAGTAGCTAGCGCTATACAACGAGCTAACACTAGCATGAGCAAGCTAATACTATCGTAAACAACCCTGCTGTAGCTAGCGCTATACAATGAGCTAACACTAGCATGAGCAAGCTAATACTATCGTAAACAACCCTGCAGTAGCTATTGCTATGAGCTAACACTAACATGAGCAAGCTAATACTGTCGTAAACAACCCTGCAGTAGCTAGCGCTATACAACGAGCTAACACTAACATGAGCAAGCTAATACTAAAATAAACCATGAAGTAAAAAGATCCTCACTATTGGTCAAAAATATTAATACTTACAAGTCCAATAGCAACAAAGCCAGGTCACCATTAGTCTGTGATTTTATAGCCTCTTGTAGCTGCCTAAAACTAGCATAGGCTGCACTGATGTTCACTCTAGTTTTAGCTCTTTGCTTCGCCTCCAAAGACATGAATCTCTTACTTTTACTTCCAGGCACCACCATGATGCCAACAGAAAAAGCAAACTTATTTTTCTTCTTCCTTTGCTTTGTACTGACAATCAGCGAACTGATAATGCTACCTGCTAGCATTATATCTAATCTGCAGTAAGCAGATAAAGAGCTCCCCCTATAGGACACCTACCTGCTCCACAAAACTATCAAGTATGGTTTTTGGTCAGTAGAGGGCTGCAGAGTGGTGTTAAAAATTAAACTGGTCAAGTTTCTGATGCAACACTCAGCCAGGACATGAATATTAAATGAGCTTCGTTCTGATTACCCCAATGCCTCTGTGACGCTAGTGTAAAGCCATGTTCAGCATCTGAACATCTCAGTAGGCAAATTATGGATCTCTCTGGCATTAATTCAAAGGCTGGGTTTCTTGGAACATCCTGGAATGTCATGTGTTCTCTGACATTCTTCTTTGCTGTTTTCCTCTTACTCAACAAGTACTTTAGCAGTAGCTCAGGCTAGCATTAGCAGTAATTGGAATGGTTTTGAAGTGGGTTCCTGTGAAACTTTAGCACAATTAATGACATATTTGTTGGAGATGCTCCTTGAACAACCTCAGCTTGGAGAAACAGTACTAGTTAGTTCTAAAGAGTTTTTTTTTTTTACAATCTAAAACCAACTCAAACTAAAAGGAGGCCATATTCATTTAGATAGACGTTAATTCATATATCTTTACTCTGCTGTAAATTTCACATTACAAAATTGTTTACAAAAATATTTATGGTTAAGTGCTAGTTGTGTCACTTCAGTTGTAATATAAAATGTATCTAGTAATTTAATCATTCAAACCTGAATAAATGCACAACATTGATGGCTGTGGAAAAAGTTAATTAAATTAAATATTTATAGGCTTTTAATTTGCAGGAACACACCGTGGACTTGGCCCCACTTTGGCTAGCCATTGGCTTATCAATCTTGTCAGAATAGGTCTAGTATACTGCAGCCATTTTGATTTGAAAGAGTAGAGAAAGCAGAGGTGTATTAACGAGGGCAACACATTCTAAATGGAATGCAGCCCTCGATACACCTGTGCCATCGCTAATCTTTCATGTAAACATCTGCCACAAAATAGGTTGATGCCCTATTTTTCTCCTAACAGATATCACCCAAAGAGCTAGTTACAGCAGCTGTGATAGCAATGGTTCACAGGGTTTCAACAGAAGCCCACTTTAAAGATCTGAACCAAGTTCATGGGAGTCTTGTGTAACATGAACTCAGAGGCGGGTAAAATACACACCGTACTGTGTTGTTGTGTAACCCAGTACATTTCCCCCTAATGGTTTTATCATTTTGCTTATGTAACAGAAAAATTGCTTTAATTTTGGGATGTAATGCTAAAAATAGTTCCAACTAACATTTCTATTAAAATAAATGGCTCGTTTACTCCTTAAATATCAGTTTGTCTGCCAGCCTATTAATTTTTGTAAATGATATGATGAAACAGATTTATAATTATGTTAACTAATATTACCACGTTTACACATACACAGGAACACATTTATTTTCTTTTCACTATCCTTTAATAGACTAAGAGCTTCACCTTTGACCTTTGTTGCTCTCTTGTAAAATAGCACGAAAAGTGATGCAATAAAAGCAGTGAGAACTCAGGAAGTGACAGCTTCACTTCCGAGGTTTTCCTTTTTTACTTCCTAAAGTAAACACCCATTACTCTGATGGTGCCCCAATCTCAACAAGCAATCTCGGTCACACTGTCGTGTCAGTTTCAGCCATGCCTGCCTATTCTGTTGCTACAGATACGGTAATTAGGTGATAGCAAAGAGCAACTTGTAGTAAATGGAGAGTCGCCTGCAGGCTGGAAGTGAAGTAAGTGGACAATGAGCCATCACGTTGGATCTGCATCTTAACCTCTGTGGTCTTGCTGAGGAGAGCGGAGACAACGTTTTCTCCTTGAGTGGTTAAAACCTCATGATATGAGATCCTGAGTGACTCTTTGAGGTCACTGCAGCTCGACACTCTTCCAGAGTGAAAAATAAATGCCTCATAAAGACTTAATGCACCACTCACAATGTGAGGGTTTGTAGGTTTTCTTTTTCTTTTTGAGGAAATGCTGTTTAATTAAAAAAAAAGTCTCTAAACACCTGTAGCCTGCTGTAAATAATGAGTAAAATGTGAAAATGTGATGTAAATGAAATGTTTATGATGAGATTTTATTCATAGATATGCAATAAATTGCCATTCTGTGCAAAAATTTCAGCAGTTCCAGTATAATAACATAAGTTTACATTTGAAGCAATAAAAGCAATAAAATCCTATTGCGCTGTGAACTTTAATTATAATGTGTACCAAAGTTTACCTGCTGAGCATTTAAGCCCTGAGCTGTAACCTTTGAACAAGGATTGAAGCAAAGGTGGGGATCTAAGGTGTGTTTTTGTACAAATTGTCACAAAAAGGATTAGTTCAGAGTAAGTGAAACTCAAGCTGCTGCATACACTGTAAGAAATTAAACGTTGAATTTACTTAAAGTTCTCATTCACTTGTTATTTCAGTACATTTGCAGTGGTCTCTAGTATAAATTAATTCATTGTGACTTCATCTTTGTGGAAAAAGCTCTGGCACTCTTGTTTCAGGAAGTAAATGTTAGCCAGACGAGAGGCGAGCACAAAACGACGTGATTTGGAGCTTTACTTATTATTCATGATGTTTGAACATCTTGCCTCTGATTGGCCAACAGCAACACAACTCTTCCACTGCCTCTGTTCGCTCTGAAATGTTGATTTTCAATCTCCACAAATAACCCAATCCTGAAGGGGTTCTGCCATGTTGTGGTGTTGCTAATGCTAACAGTTAGCTTACTAGCTGAGGTGCACTCTGCTCTCTCCTGGTTGCAAAAATCTACACAACCATCCCTGGTTGTGAGCCAAGAATGGTGAGTCCAGGAATGCAAATTTTCAGTGTGATGTGGATCGGTGTGGCTTTTTTCTTCCCCAAACATTTCCTCACCTATTATCTTTCTACCGCTAAAAGGGGAAGAAGAATATTTTCAAATTTGGCCTGTATGTGAAACGTAGCGTGACCGATAGTATTTGAGAAATAGCAAGTAAGAAACTGCTTTTATGTTAACTTGCTCTTCAACATAAAATCTTCAACATAACATACACTTATCTTAATTACAAGTTATTTTTTTCAGCCTGATTTTATATCCGGAAATAAAACGCTTTGTTTCAGTGAAACTCCGCCTATGCCCACTCAGAAAAAACGTGCCTATAACAGCGTCTTAGGCGAAGCTGATTTTATGTTTTTATGATTTAGTTTTATTGATTATTTTCCGCAAAATATTTTGTGTCTCTAAAGATCTTTGCATTTGGCCATTTCCAAGCAGCATTTTAGTTGATTTGCTCTGCTCACCTCACATGGACTCACACTGGCTAAATAAACAAAGAAAGTAAAAATAAATACACATTAGTCCTTATATTCTAAACGGTTCATCAATGAAGGATTGAAAACATCATACTGGCAAGTGTAGCTAAAAAGAGAAACTAGTTACTGCTGAGACCAGGATGTGAACCTTCATGCTAGTCCAGCACTCTAACCACCAGACTACCAAGTCTGTTATATGTGAATAGTCGCCTAAGCCTCATGTCCTGTGCTGGCCAGAGGAGACCAGTTTCAGACCAGAGGCTAGCTTCCAGGACAGAAGCATGGTCTGATGATGAGATTAAGACTTTACAGGATTTTCAAAGTAAAACTGTAAATTTGAAGCTGAAACAGGAAAATGCATGAATGCAGCCAAAAATGGGTTTGGGGGTCATGAGGAAATAACAATATCGCAGGGTAAAAAGCTCCAAACAGTGGATTTTCCCTGAGATGGCCCCTTTAACGAGGTTTAGTGAAACCAGCTGTCATAACTTGGTTAAATAAATCTATTATTTAATTTTGTAGAGTGTACTTTTAAAAATCAGCTCCTCATGCACACCAGGTTAGTTGCACAAGACACTGCTGTTCCCCTGAGGGGATACTGGTGAGGTAGAAAAAGATTTTCTGTGCTTTCAGGTGTGCACGAGACACCAGTTTTCAGAATCTGAATGATGCTGATAAGTTATTTTTTGTCTTACTCAAAATAATTTTTCATAGTAAAACCTGCCCTCCCATCTCACGTTGTTGAGCAGATCTTCCAACAGTTCACCTTTTTGTCTGTTGCTTTAGCGTTGCTGTATGCAACCATCTTTGGGAACGTCACCACCATCTTCCAGCAGATGTACACCAACACAAACCGATACCACGAGATGCTCAACAATGTGCGGGACTTCCTCAAGCTGTACCAGGTTCCCAAAGGCCTGAGTGAAAGAGTGATGGACTTCATCGTCTCCACGTGGGCCATGTCTAAAGGCATCGACACCGACCGGGTAAGTGTGCTGTGTGCATGTTTCATTTGATTATTTCATGTGATTCCCATTTAACGAGTCTCGTTGTGTCTCTCAGGTTCTGTCCATCTGTCCCAAAGACATGCGTGCAGACATCTGTGTGCACCTCAACAGGCAGGTGTTCAACGACCACCCGGCGTTTCGCCTGGCAAGTGACGGCTGTTTACGCTCGCTCGCTGTGGAATTTCAGACCATCCACTGTGCACCTGGGGATCTAATTTTCCACATCGGTGAGAGCGTTGATACGCTCTGCTTCGTTGTTTCCGGCTCGCTCGAAGTCATCCAGGATGACGAGGTCATCGCAATACTAGGTACTCCAGACGTGTTTTGTTTCTGATGTTTTCTTCTCTTTTTTTGCACATATTTACAACAAATACTCACTTTTGTCAGTCACATGATGAAATGAGAGTGCAGGCTTTATGAACTGATGATGGTTTGGCCTAATCCAGGTAAAGGTGATGTATTCGGGGACGTGTTCTGGAAGGAGACCACCCTAGCTCGAGCCTGTGCAAACGTCCGAGCGCTGACCTACTGCGACCTGCATGTCATCAAGAGAGAAGCTCTGATGAGGGTGCTGGATTTTTACACGGCGTTCGCCAACACGTTCTCTCGCAACCTCATCCTCACCTGTAATCTACGGAAACGGGTACAAACGACTAAAACACTGGATCTCATGCTCATGCATCTTTTTATTTTAGCTCAAAACTAAATTTTCATGGTGTTGAGGGGTTCGGTTTTGGTGGCCTATGGATCAGATCTCTGCCTTTTGCAGATGATGTGATCCTGTTGGCTTCATCAGAACATGATCTCCGGCTTTTGCTGGAGCGGTTCACAGCCGAGTGTGAAGCAGCTGGGATCAGAATCAGCTCCTCAAAATCATGGTCTTGAGTCGGGAAAGGGTAGAATGCCTTCTCCAGGTCAGGGAAGATGGAGTGCGGGAAAGATGAAGGGTGAGATTGATAGGCGGATTGGTGCTGCGTTGTACCGGTCTGTCGTGGTGAAGAGAGAGCTGAGTCAGAAGGCGAAGCTCTCGATTTACTGGTCGATCTACGTTCCTATCCTCACCTATGGTCATGAGCTTTGGGTAGTGACCAAAAGAACGAGATCGCGGATACAAGCGGCCTAAATGAGTTTTCTCCGAAGGGTGTCTGGTCTCTCCCTTAGAGATAGGGTGAGAAGCTCAATCATCCAGGAGTAGATCGGAGTAAATCCGCTGCTTCTCCACATCGAGCGAAGCCAGTTGAGGTGGCTCAGGCATCTAGTTAGGATGCATCCTTGGTGAAGTTTTCCAAGCACATCCAACCAGGAGGAGACCCAAAGGAAGACCCAGGACACGCTGGAGGGACTATGTCTCACGGCTGACCAGGGAATGCCTTGGGATCCCCCCGGAGGAGCTGGCCCAAGTGGCGGGGGAGAGGGAAGTCTGAGCCTCCCTGCTTTGGCTACTGCCCCCGCGACCTGACCCCTGATGAGCAGACGACAGTGGATAAAAAGAAATATGTTGGTTTTCTCTAAAAGTAGAAAAGGGGTATTATCTTAGGTTTATTTCCCAGCCAGCATACATAGGTGGGCCCTAAATGAAAAATATATGGGCAACTAGTAAGGGTCTCAACTGGTTTTGTAAACAGTTTCCATGGTGGCCCCAAAGGGGTTTGCCCACATAGATTCTAACGGGTCCTACGTGGATTTTCAGAGGGACCCAGATGGTTTGATTGACTCATGGGTCCACAGAGATTTCTCTTTGTGAACAAATCCCTGTGATAAAACCAACTGGGACCCACACTGTTTGCCCATATATAAATCCCATATGGGGCCCGCCTATAAGTACGCTGGCTGGGATATGATCATTTCCAAGCATAACTCTTCTGAGATTGTTGAAGTAATAATCTTCCCACCCAGAGTTATTTTGTTGTCCATTCTTTGGTGTCCGTGAGGTTTTATACCATCATGCTTTAAATTCATTCATAAATTCTTAATGGATATTATTTCCTTGAAGATCAATGCATGTTTGCGTGTGCTTTGTTCAGGGCTCGCTCGTATAAGACACATCTTGGACTGTGGAAAAAAATAATCTGCGAAGGAGTTCAGCGGAAGAAAAAATTACATAACAAAAAAACTTTAAAAAGAACAGAAATGAAAACTCAGGAATATTAGAGCTGCTCAGCATAACAGTGAGTCAGCAGGGATGGCTCCACAACGAAAATAACTGGGTTAGACTGTGGTTTCTAATATTCTGCAATAACCGTAATTTTATTTATTTTTTTATCTTCTCGTTGAAGAAATCTTACGTAAACTTGTTAACTGAAATCACTCACACTTGCTGAAGTGGCTCTAAACCTAAACAAAGCACTGCATGTTGAAAGATTTATGACTCCTCAAACATATTAAATGAATATTAAACCATCTATTATTAATCCGAGCAACTTTGGGGGAGTTTTATTTTTTGTGTCTGCCTAAGCTTAAAGTTTGCTTTTATGTGCATAAAGAAATGAACTAAAAAAACACAACTTGTTGTTTAAACTGTGAAAAAGATGTATGGATTTGAATCTTGAATACTAATTAATACCGTAAATCCTCTAATACAGGCCCGGGCCTGTATTTGACTTAAGCTCATCAAGCTCCAGGCCTTTATTGGAAGGAGGGCCAGTATTAGAGGCAGGCCTCTATTTCTATTTGATCAAAATGAACTAATGGTTCGCTGGAGTTTTTGACAATTAAAATTGCGCCCACATTTTCAAAGTTAAACACATTTCTTTTAACAATGGTAGTTTCTGCTTCAGCCATCTCCCCCCTCCCCCAGCGCAGTGGCCGCAAACTCACTGATGCGCCTGCAGCCTCTCAGAGTTCCTGCTGCTCTAAACATTAAAATAATTATTTCATTTTCTGTTCCTCACTTCTGATTACCTTCAATGGTGTCTGTTTGTTGCAACCACCAGGTACAAAAACTAACTTGTATATTATTTGACTATTTTTCTGTCCTGCCTGTTTATTATCTCCCTGCATCTCCTCTCAATCCTAAAGAAAAACTGCTACCTGGGTTCATATATATTCACCTCATGAGTTACCTTTAAACTGCAGTTCTAAAAGATCTACCGACTGCAAAAACTGCGGAGTGCTCGCTGCTTGGCGGCCGCATCAGTGATCGGTGCGTCACCGGATGACAAGGTGATACGCCCCGCTCCACAGCGAAACGCATCAGGCGCAAATAAAAGACAGAAAACATTAAAGGAAATGAGCCGACATGAACGATCGCATGTTAAATTAGTTTTTGAGGTGGCGACACCTGATTTGATAATGTTACTGTGGCCGTGCTCAGGACGCAGATCTACCGACCGCAAAAACAGCGGAGTGCTCCCTGCATGGCGGCCGCATCAGTGATCGGTGCGTCGGAGGACAAGGTGATGCGCCCCGCTCCACAGCAGCGAAACACATCAGGCGCAAATAAAAGACAGAAAACATTAAAGGAAATGAACCGACATGAACGATCGCGTGTCAGTACCGACGCTCTGGCACGGCGCGTTGCCCCCCCCCGAGCGCAGGAGCTTGTCACCTGCTGATAGCAGGCTGCTGTCTTTTCCGAGGGCTGCATCTTGCCGGTCATTATCACGTGACAGCGACTAGTCGACGACAGGCATAAAAAGTCACTATAGTGAAGTCGACTAGTTCATACAACCCCTGCTACTGTTCCCCAGAGTGTTCTGCAGCATAATCAGCACGTTCTCTTTGAACTTGATATCAAATTTTCGCCTCCTCTTCATCTCCGCACGGTTAAAGTTACCCTCGCGGTCTATCACTGGCAAATCAAAAGTGAGACGATGACACAACCGCCCCCCGTACTTGCTTGTTACCACATTCCACCCGGCCACAATAAAATACCGGCCATTATTCACCCCCGCCGACTCCGACACCGGCCAAAATATGAGACCCGGCCGTTAATTGAATACAGGCCTGTATTAGAGGATTTACGGTAATAATTGTTTTTTATTTAAAGATGTGGTTTACTCATTTAGTCAAAACATTTGCAATGTTCTCTAAATGAATACCTTACGAGGCTTGCTTCTGTTCCGAGATACAGAGGTTTGCTGGTGCAGAAATGGGCGAAAACAGCAGGATTGCTCATTATTATTAATGATATGCACACACCTTGCTTCTGATTGGCTAACAGAACACGTTCAGCCATGTTGCAAAGTCACTATCACCCAGACACTCTCCGCCCTCTCTCCTCTCTGCAAATTTTTTTAAAAGCCTTTCTGCGGGCAGGTGCAAGCCAAGATGGGTGGGGCTATGAATGCAAATTCACAGTGTGACATAGATATGTGAGAATTTTCAAATCCTAGAGTTTTGTGGTATATTTTCTATCAGAAGCAAATGCAGGATATGGGTGTAGGAGACTATTTTCATGTCCAGCCTAGATGAAAAACTCAGTGACCGATTATAACCAGAAATGATCATTTAAAAATGTTTTTTCAGTCAACCACACCTTTAAAAAAAAACAAGATTTGTTTTTGTTAAAGAGCAAGTTCACTGAGAAAACCCTGCTCTGCTGCGAGTAGCTGTTGGCTCTTTGCAGCTAAAATAGGAATTGTTCATGAGTTGATTTCATTTCTTCATACACATTCTGTCTTCCAGGTAATCTTCAGAAAGATTGCTGATGTGAAGAGAGAGGAGGAGCGCCAGAAGAGTGAGGTGGCTCTCTCCATCCCCGAAGACCATCCTGTTCGCAAGTTGTTCCAGAGGTTCAAGCAGCAGAGGGACTCTCAAACGTTTGACCAAAACTGTGTGCAGGTGGAGCCGGAGCACCACCAGCACTACGACTCCTTCAGTCAGTGTCAAAGTGTGTCCTCTCAACAGCAGGAGTGCAACAGGAAATCCTCAGCAGGACGGGGGAGTATAAGCAATGGCTGCAGTGTGGTCATGCATCTGCAAACAGTCACAGATGCTGGAAAGTCAGAACTAAACTGCACACAAGAAACTGTGAAGTCTAAATCAAGACTAAGTGCAGAGGTTGAGATTTGTCACAAGAGCAGCAGTGGTGCATGTGCAGAGGGAGCTGCAGGTGGCGTTACCAAGAGCAGCGGCAGCAGAGGTGTCCGAGGGTGGGCCAAATTTAAGAGTGCCATCTCTGCTGAGCCGTCGCTTCCTGATGCAGAGCAAGAGAAGAGAGCACAGAAAACAGAGGAGTGGCCGCATGCAGCCATGCAGCCTTCGGAGGAGTCTGCAGCTCCTGAAAAGAACCAGGAACCAGAGGAGAACGGGCAAACAGGTGGCAACACAGCAGGAGAGGCGGGGGAGGAAACCAGCATCCTGCACAAAACGGACTCCTGCGACAGCGGCATCACTAAGAGTGACCTGCGCATCGATCGAGCCGGAGATTCGAGAAGCTCCTTCGAGCGAAGTCCGATGGAAAAGAGCCCACTGGAGAGAAGTCTGTTTGAGCACAGTTTAGGGGTTTACACTGAGGTGTGTATGAGACAGTCCTTCCTCCAGCCGGTGTCTGAGCAGTCCCTGCTTCAGGCGGCACTGCACGAGGCCAAGCTGGAGCTGAAAGGTGACATTAGGAAACTGAGCAGCCGCCTCTCTCTGCTGGAGTCGCATGTGAGTGAGATCCTCAGGTTGCTATCGATGAAAAGAAGACTCTCGCTGCCCCCGACTCCTACGAAACCGAGAATAAGACGTCACGACTCGATCAGCGCCACCAGACGTGTCGCTCCCAAAGCAGAAGAAGAAACTTTTGATTTTGCTCAGGACTGACACGGAAAAACAGACGTAGATAAGCATCCTGCATGACCTGTTGGACTGGAAAATGTTTCCAGCACTTTGACTGCATGTTTAATGGAGTTTTTGCATCAGATTCCAGGGAAATTTTGTAGAAATTTAACACATCGGACATTTTTATGGGTGGAAAAAGAAAAGAATGGCAGTGACACAAAGAATGAACAAAAATAAATACCGATTATGCCGGGTCGCATTTTAAATGCAGATCTGCTGCATGTTCAAAACAACTTTTTTTGACATATCTGGTTGTAATTAGTTATTTAAGGCTTCAAAAACACCATGATTGTGTGGGGGAGAGGAGGTGGACAGGGGAGTGTCCAGGGAGTGACCTAGGGTAGCACGTGCCACCCCTGGAATCCGGTTTGCTACCCCAGGTGCATTGTTTAGAGATGCATCCTTTAAATGTATTCCCCTGCCCCCTACAAAATAACAAATAAATAAATAAATAGCATGACCATAAATGCCATCCATGCACAAGTGCCCCACCTGGGCCCCCCTATTTAAAAGGACCTGGGCACGCCACTGGAGGTGGAATCTTCATCCCCACATTTTTTGAGTGCGCTGACTTTTATTTTTAACATTACAGATGCATTAGTTACCCACCTCTACCCCCTTGTGGTGACTGGGGGATACTGCAGCTTAACTCAACTGTAACAGCAGCAGTAACGGATGAAGATGTTAATAAACACTGTTACAGAGGAGGACTTGTTCCTACATACGCATGCACGCACATGCACACTATCAAGACCTCAGGAAACCGTTCCAAATTTGTAGAAAGATGATAAAATATCTTTTTATATTTTATTGTCTCTGTTCTCGTTACTGTTGGCTTGCACTTTGTGTTTTTGAGACATTTTCCTGCTTTTGTTTTATAAGTCGTAAAAGCAACTTTGACATTTCCACTTGCACAATGATAAAGAAAATAATATTTTCATCTTGTGATTTTGTTCATTCTTGCTGTAGCTTTGTTTGCATCAGGTAATTATTAAATGTGCCTTACAAATTAAAGCGTCATTAGGAGGTCTTTTCATGAGGTTTTGTGGATACTTAGTTGTTTTTCCAAACCAGCATTGCAGAATTAATGAAAAACTTATGTGGGACATGCTTTAGTTTATTTACCTTTTAAGAAATGTTTTGCCCTGTGCACAGAACAAAAAATAGCAATGTAATATTAGGTTGTAAATCTTTTAACTTATTTAAATTTTTAAAATGTGAATACCTGAGCAGATACCTGCAGCACAGTCGCTGTGTATCCCAACATTTTACTTGCTCAGGTAGGACGGTTTTAAAGGCTTTATCTGTGAATTACCTTCATGTGAACTGTCAGGAAGCCAGCATGTGGACGTAGTGCATCTGTTTTAGATAAGTTTAACCGCCTTGCATGCATCAGAGGGAACTTGTCAGCTGCTAAATGAATAATGAAACTCGTGTCTGCTCCCCAGCTGTTGTTTGGTTTCTTATGCAACACATCTTTCTGTAAATTACAGGCTCTGAAGTCAACATGTAGCTTCATAAGTTACATGAGAAGTGTTTGAGATCAGCTTTTTTCTGTCTGAATGGGAGTTTCTCTGGAGAATTAAACATTAAAAACACATTTGCTCATGTTGCTGTTCTTCTGCCTTTTTTTTGGTAGTTTCAAAATACACTCAGTTTTTTCATTTGTCATAAATGAAACAATTTTTTTCCTGATATTTATTTCCTATATAATAGTATTTTTAATTAATTTGACTTTTTTTACTCAGGTTTCTTAAAACTTTCCAGTCTTGGCAGAAAATGTGGGAATATCCAAATGGTCATCTGCAAATTTATAAATATTATTTTTGCAATCATCACAAATTTAGCAAAAAGCTGCTGCAACTATATATTGTAGCTGCTATTCTGTATATATTGTGCTATTCGGTATATATTGTACTTACTATTTTGTTTTAGGGGACCTTTTAAATTTTGAAGTATTATTGTATTGTGCACCAAGGGAGTGGCACTCCAATTTCGTTGTATCCTGTACAATGACAATAAAGGCTATTATTATTATTATTATTATTATTATTATTATCAACTGACACGATTATGTTAGAATCGTGTTTTTCAGATGTGACTTTTCTAGATATTTTTATATTTGATATGAAAACCAAAAGGCTCGTGTGAGATTTTTTAGGAGAATTTTCATTGTCGACAACATTTTAGGTAACGGCTTCGGGAAAAAACACCACAGATCGTTAGATCAACATAAACACATACTCCTTAGGTTTTGCATATTTAATATTTTAACCTGTTTCATAAAGTCTAATATTAGTTATCTGTAAGCTGAATATTGACATGGAAGAAATTCTGTCTCACCAGCTTTTGAATTTTAAAAGACAATTTTTTATGCACTATTAGATGCATTTTTTCCTCATTATTCCTAATTAATATGGCTACTAGATGAATAATAATAATAGTTAATAACTAAATTATTTTATAATTGTTCTATTTCTTTCTAATTCTCACCCTAATTTTTCTAATTAAATTCAAAATGGTTTGCGCAGCCCTCCAGAACAGCAGGCGGCGCTGTTGTCGGCGTCTTCCGTGTCGCACAGCGATAAAAAAAAAGTAAAAATAAATAAATAAAAAGTTGTTTAGTAGTTTGTCACAAAAAAGCTGAAACCCCCTGAAAGAGGTAAACATTTAGCTTCGTTATAGCATTACACTGGTAAATAATCTATGTTTCTCTAAGATTTTATCGGTTTTAAATTTCCGTCCTTCCACAAACTTACAAAGTGTGTTTCCGTGTTGTTAAGATAATGTTTAAACTAAATCCTCAGCTTCTCTGAAATACATAAATAGTCCCGCAAAGAAATCTGAGTGAATTATGATTTGCTGAAAATAATCATTCGATTCTGCAGTCTTACGATTTTAATAGTTGTGTTTTCTCTTAATGCTCGTTTTTTTTATCCAGTTGTGTGAAGCTGTTGTTATATATAGCAACAGCTTCACACAATATATTGCTATCTCATTATGGTAAATCTGCTGAGCTATGACTAATAAATGAATAAATTATAATAAACATATTTTATATGTTTATTAATCAGTTCTAAAATGGAGCTGCAGCTTCCACCTCATGAAGGAGAAGAGCTCAGTGTGGTGGACATGCACACTGGAGGAGAACCTCTACGGATCATCATCAGTGGCTACCCAGAGGTCAAAGGTGACACTGTGCTCTCCAAGCGCCGGTACGTCCGTGAACATCTGGACCACCTCAGGAGGGTGCTGATGTTTGAGCCACGGGGACACTACGACATGTACGGGGCCCTGATGGTGGACAGCGAGCTACCTGAGGCCCACCTGGCCGTGCTGTTCCTGCACAACGAGGGCTACAGCACCATGTGCGGACACGCCGTCATCGCACTGGGACGCTTCGCTGTGGACTACAAGCTGGTGAAACAGCCACAGTCACCAGAGACACAAGTGAATATCCACTGCCCCTGTGGTCTGGTGAAGGCTTTTGTGGAGTACTCGGATGGTAAAACAGGAGGAGTGAGGTTTCTGAGCGTGCCAGCGTTTGCATTTGCAACAGGTAGGAGACTCTGATTGTTTACTTTTCCTGCAAAGTCTGATGAAATAACTTTGCACCAGATGTGGCTGTGATGGTGGAGGGCTTCGGAGAGGTGACTGTTGACATCAGCTATGGAGGAGCTTTTTATGCCTTCATTAACGCCCAGCGGTTCGGCCTGGATGTGACAAAGTCCAGGACTCGAGATCTTGTGGACGCAGCAGCGGCAGTGACCAAAGCTGTTAAATCCCAGGTTTTCAGCATCACAGCATCTTCTCCCATCATCTTTTTTTACAACTGGGATGCACAGTTAAACCTTTGTTCTCATTCTGTAGGTGAAGCTGCATCACCCAACCAGCAATGATCTGGCCTTCCTCTATGGGACCATCCTCACAGATGGCAAAGATGATCACTCAGCTGACCCCACCGCTAACATCTGTGTGTTTGCTGAAGCTCAGGTGTGTGCAGGTTTCAGCCACCAATTGATCTAAACACCAAACGTTCTAAGAATAACACACAATCTGTTACAGATCAGACCATCAGGATGAGTTAACACCTAATCTTTATATTTTGAAGCACTCAGCTAAGCGTAGCTAACCCGTGTGTCCTCAGGTGGACCGAAGCCCGACAGGTTCAGGTGTCACAGCTCGAGTGGCTCTTCAGTATCACAAAGGTCTCGTCCAGCTGAACCAGATCAGGACCTTTCAGAGTGGAGCTACTGGATCCCAGTTCACAGGAAAAGCTGTCCATGTAAGAGGTGGATCATTTTCTAATGCAGATAACAGAAACTTGCTGAAATAACTTTATACAGGAATAGAAACTAGACTCCAGATGACGGCCAATCAGCATCTCCTACAAAACTTTAAAACCAGAAACAAAAACAAGAAAATGAAGCTGTTCTTTAATAGCATTAAAAATAAATGCTGAAATGACGCTTTACCTAAATCCACGAGTCCTGTCGTCTCTCGGCCAATCAGATTTGGTGCTTTGCTGTTTGTTTCTGAGGTTTTGACTGCCTCATCAGCCAAAGGTCAGGGGCTGGAAGACCGTCACACCAAAACTCCTGTCTAAAACCACAGCAGAGACCAGGACTTTCAAATTTAAATTGTAGTTAAATAACAAGTTTAACTGTAAACTAGGCAGAAGTGAAGTTCCACGTGTTTGTGATTTTCTCTTTTTGTTGTGCTTTCATGCTTCTCACCAGGAGACCACGTGTGGAGACTTCAAGGCCGTTGTGGTGGAAGTGTCTGGCAGAGCTTTTTACACGGGCGTTTCACGCTTTGTGCAGGAGTCAGAAGATGAGCTGAAACACGGGTTTCTGCTCAAGTGAGCTGCAGTTAAGGGAAACTAAATATCACAGACAGGAAGGACTCTAGAACTTTTCTTTTTTCAGTCTTAAATAGTCAGCGGGATTTGAAAGAATACATCACATTTGAGTTCTGTTGACGGTTAAATTGACAAAAAAAGGGAAATTCATAGCCGAAAGGATTCATTTAATAACACCAAGCATAGTATTTTCAGTCTTTTCCATTTGCTATACCCAAAATGACCACTGGATGGAGCCCTGATCTTCTTCTAAACCACTAACCCTAAAAGTTGTATTTTGTTATCTAAATAAATCACAATCAACTCTGTTTTCTCCCATTTATTAATATTATTAGATCATTGTACAATGGAAGATAGTATTTAAATTATAAAAGTTCAGTGGAGGCGTCTGATGCTGGATGGAATCCCACAGCTGAAAGGACTCGTCAGAAAACCGTTTTGTTGAAGTCGTGGAAATCCATCCAGTGTGCAGAAAACAATCATATTCAGATAAACATAATAAAGGAGGGCACTCTCTTTAGGTTGGTGGGGGCGGGGTGATGTATTGCAGGAGCTGGGTTTGTTTTAATGGCATCTAACATAAGACCTTTAGATTTCTCATGTTCACGTGTTCAGAGACTACAGGTAAGGCCCCAGCCTGTGAGAGTACCCACCCAACATATAAGATCAACATGGTCAAGGCCAGCTCTTAACAATAACAATCAAACATACATATATATACATATATATATATATACATGTATATATATATATATATATATATATATATATATATATATGTGTATATATATATATATATACACATATATATATATATATATATATATATACACATATATATATATATATATATATACACATATATATATATATATATATATATATATATATATATATATATATATATATATATATATATATATTTATCTATAATAAATGCTGCTTGTCAGTAAGGAATAGAAAAAAACTACCTTTCTGTTTCTTGCAGTCAAAACCAAATCAAACATCTCTGCATCTGACTGCAGAAGGGAGCCCCTCATGGACCTTACTGTGGCCCCTCTCACTCTATAAACCAGTACAAAAATGGCCCCTCGGTTTAATCAATGGTCCTCATCGCCCCGAGCATCCGGCTCTAAAAGCTGCACGTTTTAGTTTGTGCATAGATTCTGACGTAGAAAAACGGCACAGAGGCCGGTCTGAATGATAGTGAGCATCTCCCGCGCCTGGAGGGGAGCTCTTCTTCCAGCATGGCAGCTTCATCTGATTTGGTCAAACCAGATCAACATTTGGCTCCTGCTCCCTCTCCTACTAGAAGCTAAGAGGACGTGTAGCGTTGTGTGTGGCTCTGCAGTGAGGTCATGGTTTGTTCAAGCCGAGCTGGGTGGTAGAGGACACGAGGAATGTGCAGGTCAGTCTGCTCCAGAGGCAAACCAGTGATGCAGAGGGAATAAAGGGATGGACGGCGCCTAGAAGTTGAGCTTCATTAGCGGTCGCTCCCTGCTCGAGTCATTGTTCTGGCTGTTGATCCGCTTGCGGTTCCGTTTCATCTTGGACAAGTCCTTGTCGAAGACCTCTCCCGATCGCAGAGCGGACACCAGGTCATCAAACTCCCCCCCGTCGTCCTCTCCGTTTGCTTTTGCTTTCCGGGCCTTTCGCTCCTTCTCCCTCTGTTCTTTCAGCTGCAACAAAAATAACTGATGAAATAAAGAATCCTCTAAAACCGCTTTCATCTCTGGTGTCGGCTTTTTGATCACTCAGATCCAAAGCTTTTAAAGTTTGGGACAGAAACAACCTACATGTTTGTTATGAACAAACCTAATAAAGCTTTGGTTGCCCAGATTATCTTGGCTCTGTGTGTGGGATTAAACTGTAATTGTAATCCTATCGGCATCCAGGACTTTGGCTGACTAAGCAAAAAGCTCCTCTTAAACTTTTGAAATCCTGGTTCTCTGTGAAGCAGTTGTGTGTGAGAACATTTCCCTTTCCGGTTGGCTAAGCTAACCAGCTGCTGATTAAGACTTCAGTAAGATTACACACCTGAGCTTCCATCTTCGCCCTCCTCTCCTCCTCTTCCTTGCGTTTCCTAATGTTCTCGTTCTCCTGCTGAGCCTCGGTGAACGCCTGCAGGAACTGGTCAAAGATACCGAAGAACTCATCTGGCTGCATCTTACTGGCATCCTCCCCAAAGTGCTTCACCGCCCTCAGGAACTGTGGCACCAAAGAGAAAAGGGGCACATGGGATTAGATTTACAGCACGACTCAGCAAAACGACGTCTTCCTCTGACTTTACTGTTTTACGGGAGACTCATTAGGTTCCAGCTCTTTGAAATCAGAGCACGGCTGCTGAAGTCGGGTCTTTGAAGCCACAGTAACCCAGATATGACCGACTACTGATTAGTGCAGAGGTCGGAGACTGGAGCCAGGGTCCAAATTAAGGCAACGTGTTTGTTGTTTTTTTTTTTTTGCACAGTCAGTTAAAAAAGGAGATGATCCAGATGTGTGTGTGTGTGTGTTAACAGCAGCACTGTCCTTAGCACGCAAACTATCAGGTGGAACAAAGATGTGTTTAAAACTGGGGTTTTTTTTTCATTAAAAATTCCCTGGACTGTTTGACAAAGTAGCTGAAAATGTTCCACATCTTGATTTTTGTTCTAAACACATCCTGACAAAGCAAAAGGCTCTGCTGTTCCCACCGATTTGTTCAGAGCACCACTGTAAACACCACTGTGGAACATGGTGAATGAGTAACTAAAGCTAGCAGTCGCTAAGTAACCAGCAGCTCGGAGGACAACAATAGGATGTAAAGTTTGAAACGTGAACTTTTTGATTCTTTTTCTTCAGCAATGGTTTTGCTTTTGTAAAAAAAAAAAAAAAAAAACTCTTCTACGAAAGGGCGTGTTTTTACAGCTGGCAGGTTTAATCAGCTCCTCTTAAACAACGAGGTGCACACTGTGTGAAATAACACCCAAGTTTGTGCTTCCTTCACTCTTCCACACAGCAACGAGCACGCTGACCAATAAAGAGCAGGTCAGCAGTGCTGCAGCAGGAAGCTGAAACGCTTCACCCCCGCTGTTCGCTTTCCTCCAGAGGTGACCGACGAGGTCAAAGAGACATGTAGAAACAGCTGCATGGAGAGGAAACCCACAGAAAGCATTCAGCACCCGTGTCTCAGAGCCACAGTGACACACTCCTGTCTGCCTGGACCGTTTTTCTTCAGCGGAAGCTCACCAGCTCTTTGGCTTCAGTTAGAGAGTCTTCCACATCGGAGAAGCTGAAGCTGGCCACGGTGATGAACTGGCTCACCACAGACACGAACTTGTCACCCACCTCTTGTGGTCGTTTTATCTGGTATTCCAGCTCCTAAAGGGGAAAATCCATAAATAAGGCAAAATAAATGCATAAAGATCATTCTTATTTATTAACTGCACCAAAAACCTTTGACTCACACTCTCAACACTTTTTAGGCCACTGCGCAAGTTGCCAATATCCTTTTCCAACTCTGTCATGCTGCAGAGAAAAAGAGAGGACTATTTAAAAAAATACAAGAATTATAGCACTTTGTAAATCAGATATCCCTTTTCAGATCTTTAGTGTAATTAGAAATCATCCAGAGGGTGGAAATAAATCACAAACAAAACCAAATTTGCCCCTTTTTCCTGCTCGACTCAGAGCTCCACCTACTTGACTTTAGCTGCCTCCGGGACGCTCTGCAGGTCGTTCTGGAACATCAGAACTTTGGCATATTTCTTCTCCAGGATGGTGATCAGGTAGTGCAGCAAGGTGATGTTTCTGAGGTTTGGAGACAAGTTGAAATTTTTCAAATATGCAAAAACTGTTTCAGTAGAAATGCCACCTTCTCTTATAGCAGAGAATCTTACTTGTCGATACTGGATTTGGTATCAGCGATCTTGTTAAGTGAGGACACCTTGAAGCCGTACGCGTTGCCCCTATGACCCTTGTTCATGTAGTTTCCAAACGCCAACACCACCTCCAACAGCTGCTTCAAGTTTTTGCTGTGCAACACCTCCTTAGACGCTTTGGTCAGAGCTGAAACAAAGACAACGTTACTTCAGACAGACAAGAATTTGGTGTTCATCACATTTAAAATGAATCTAATAGGTGTTGCCCACCTTCAACTTTAGGCTTGATCTCCGCTATCCTCTCTGCAAACTTCTTTTTAAAGTATAGAGACTGTAGCCTCTGCTGGTAGTGGTTTATTCTGAAAGGAAGATGGAAAAAATGAAGTTTTAAAGATGAAAATCCACAAATTTATAAGAAAAACACATCGGCAACACTGAAAATAAAGTTTTTTTCACTTCAGCAGACTCATGCTGCTGGTTAGCCTCCTTTAGCATCTTATGCTAGAGTTTTTGTTACAACATGTCTTCTTTGTTCCTTTTATCTGACACAACTCTTGTTTACAAAACTGGAGCACAAAAACTGCTTTTATTAATTTGCCAACCCAATTTAGAAATCATGGTTCACACAGACAGCCATTGTTCCCTGCTAAGTAGAAACCCGTGTGTCTCTGAATTGATCTGCTCTCTGGAACAAAAGCACGTTTCATCTGTGGTGAGCTGACGGTAGATGTTCATGTTGGGATCTACCTGCTCATCTCGTAAAGGAACCGATCGGGTTTGGCCATCCGATCCAGCTCGTGTTTGTGCTCCTCCAGGAGGTCCACGTCGCTCTTCTCTGGAACAAACTTCAGCAGCTAAAGGAGCAGAAAAAGATCTTTTTTTTTTTTAGAAAATCCAGCCACACTTGCTCCAACAACTAGTGTTTATAGGCTTTTACCTGTTCCAGCATGTCTTTAGGAAGGTCCTCCTGTTCGTCCATAGTTAGAATGGCTCGCTTGATCTCCTCATTGGACAGCTTCAGCCTGTTAGTTTACAACAGATGTCAGATAAAATACATCTAATGGCTGTGCCGTCAGCTTTCCATCCCCAGTGAGCGTACCGTGAAAGGAGGATGTTGCAGTTCTGAGCCCTGCGGCCATCGATGACCGACAGCTCCTTGACTTTCTTGGAGCTCAACGTGTCGTCTTCTGCCTCTTTCTGTCAACAGTCATCATGATGTTAAACCACTAAGCTTTGTTAAAGGGTAACAAAAGTTTGGGATCAGCATGGAAACACGCACGAGATTACTTTGATTGGACACAATGGAGCTGCAAATCTTTCTTTAGAAAAAAAAAGTCATCTGATTGATTTTAAATGGAGAAATTAGCTCATGAACTGCAGGAAAATGTGTTTTTCTTTGGAAAACGCTACAATTTCCAAGTGATTCCAAACATTTGACTGGTTTTGTGTACAGAACACACTAAAGTGAAAGCGCACAGACTGTCACACACCAACATAAACCAGACTAAAAACACAAACTTCAAGACGCCATCATGTTGGACACAAGGAAAACACACACACAGCAACACACACACATATGGTCTTTTTAACCGAGGTGACACTTATTTGCCGTACTGTAAACAAACTCACCTGTTTGCTGTTACTGATCGTTAAGAAGTCCTAAAATGCAGCAAGAAGCAGGGAAATGGAAGCATTCATTAGAATCAATAAAGCAGTTATGTGGTTGCAGCCCATAACAAACAGCAAACTAGTCAGAGCGGATTGGATGACGATGATGAATCAGTGATGCGAGACAGAATGGCGGTTCAGTTAATCACTGTTAATCCACATCTCTGACGCTGTGGATGGTTTTCTAAAACACAGAAGCAGGAATGTTCCTCAGCTTTCTCCATAATCTGATGCATTTATTATCTTTTGTGTGTATCCAACATGCTTACATTCATGCGAGTGATGAAATCTAGTAAATAAATCTAAACCACAAGGAAAACAGAAGCAAGCGCAAGCAGTATTAATCACAATCATTAGAATAATCCAAAACAGAAAATATGGTTTGAATTCAAATGAAAGAGCAGAAAAGTTCAAGCATCAACACTACAGCTGGTAAAAACTCATCTGTGCTACGTTACTAATCAGACAGCTGATCACGTCTATCCTCAAAACTCCGCCCATTAAACCTGGTCTGATTATTGATGAGCTGGACTGAATACCTGCTGTCTCTGATAGGCTGAGAAGGTCTTTTCAATGTCCTCCAGATCCAGAATTTTAAAAACCCTCGCATCGTCCACATCCATCCAAACGGTGCCCTCCAGCTTATTCTACGCCGAGGAGAATCAGACATTTTGTGGTTTTTTTTTATTTCTTTAAATAGTTTAGTTTCATTTTTCTAAACGAGAACAGATCTCACCTCAGCTAACTTGGACCAGTTGAAGGACTTGAGTGCATTGGACGGCTGGGGAATGCTCTTCTTCTTGAGAGACGGCCCCAGCGGCGCCCCTGGTGGTGGAGGGATGCCGCCGACAGGTGGGCGTCCAGGAGGAGGTGGGGGCCCGCCTGGTGGAGGGGGCGGAGGGGGTGGAGGAGGCATCATGCCACCAGGTGGGGGAGGAGGGCCCACACCTGCAAACGCTGGCACAGGTGAAGGAGGGACAGGTCCACCTGGGGGGCCGCGGGTGTAAGGGGGACCTCCAGGAACGACAGCTGCAACCTGTCTCTGCAGGGACAGTCCACAGAGACCAGAGAAGTTTCAGATGTGTCCAAGTTCTCATGCTGCATTCATAACAGGGGACAAAAGAACAGCTTTGTCCCTCTGGGAGAAAAACTAAACCGCCTCAGGACGATTTTCTATTTTTAAATTTGTTTGTAATTCTGATCATTTATGAGATTATTCTCTTTTAATGAAGGAAGGATTTTTATACAGTTATATTTAAGTCCCATAGCCATCATCACACACCGGTGAAATTACATCTTCGTATTTGACCCATCCCCATCAGGAGGAGTGAGCTGCAGCTGTGGCACCGCTCAAGGGCGCAGCAGTAGCTTAACAGGTTGAGCGGGTTGTCCAGTAATCGGAAGGTTGCAGGTTCGAGCCCGGCTCTGGACAAAGAATTTTGCTGTTGTGTCCTTGGGCAAGACACAACCCACCTTGCCTGCTGGTGGTGGTCGGAGGGACCGGTGGCGCCAGTCCTCGGTAGCCTCGCCTCTGTCAGTGCGCCCCAGGGCAGCTGTGGCTACAATGTAGCTCATCACCATCAGTGTGTGTGAGTGTGTGTGTGAATGGATGAATGATACACTGTAGTGTAAAGCGCTTTGGAGTTCTTACTCTTGAGTGGCGCTATACAAGTGCGGGTCATTTATCATTATCATTATCAAGAACTATTTGGTGGTTTAACCCTTCAGTCCAACCCCGTATAATCTGTTAGTAATAAATAATAACGATCCAACTCATTTAAGTTTGGAGAAATGGTTTTCATGACAGCTAGCTCAAGAGCAGCCAAGATCAAAATGTGTTATCATCCCAAAACACCTCCTCAAATTCATGGTGGTTCCTGTAAATGTTACTTTATAATCACGTACTCACAGTCAGTCCTACATTAGCGTAAAAATCATCCTTGTAAAGATTTACAGGAGACATTTTATGAACAGCTGTAAATTTTGTGGGACTGGCGTTGATTTTGGCTGTGTAAAACTAGCTGTTAGCTGTTAGCATCCATCTAATTTTCATTGTTGCAGTATTATTTTGGTATAATTATATAACATGGTCCACAATAGCAGACGGGACAACGTACAGTGCTGAGTTCGTGCAGCTGAGCAGTGAGGTCGGCCACTTGCTGTTTGACGTTTCTGTGCTCGTTCGTTTCCTTTTCCAGCTTCTCTTTCATCTTGTTGAGGGTCTGCATCATGTCCTCCTTCTCCTGTGTCTTGGCATCACATTCTCGCTCCTTCTTCTCAAACTTTTGCTGCAGCTCATGGTGCTCTGTAATGGAAAACCAACAGATAAGAGTTTATTACATCAGGTTTTATTCATAAACCTTTTTTAAAGATGTATTTTCTTATCTACACACCTTTCCTCATTTTCTCTGCCTGCTCTTTCCACTGTTTGACCTCGTTTTCGTTGACCAGCCTGCAGAGAAAATGACAACAGTTAAATCAGAAGAACCAGCTGTTATCCCCCACTTAAAAGAGAAGCCATTTTGAGCCAATGCTGTAAAGTTTAGGCTTTCAACTTCGACACTGGTGCACATTCCTCACTCCTACAGTCATGTCATTTCTTCCATGTCTCCGTTCTCGTGTCTGTGTGTTTATTGGAAATCAGCACACTCACATCCTGACAACGTTCTTCACGTTAAAGTTCTCCAGCGGTGCGACATCTGGGTCGTGACCTTTGTCGTTCTGCAGGACCATCTGCTGGACGATACGGTCCAACAGCAGCCAGTACTGTACCGTGTTTCCACTTCTCTTGTCTGCAAACGAAGAATACTCGTATTATTGTCCTGAAATATTTTTATTCAGAAAATGTCTCCTCTGATTTAACTTGTTAAAATTGGTTTAAATTGATCAAAACAACCCAACAAAATCAGCATATTTCCAGTTTATCCATCATTTAGAAATAATTTGTTTAGTAACGTACTGATTTTTAAACACAAACAACCACAAAGCTGTTCATGCATCCCATTATTTCTTTTTATAAATGGTATTCTAAATGTTTAATGCATCCCATTATGCATTCGTACTTCAATTCCTCTTTCTGTCTGAGTTCTGCAGAAGTTCAGCATCATAAACACTCCTAACAACCTCATCACTTTGGGAGATTGTAAAAAAGCCACTTAGACGGAAGTTAAAGTGAAAAGGTAACAAAAAAGCTGTGGTCATCTGTTTTACTGGTTTATCTGGAGTCTTGAGGGGAATCGGGCTCGGCTCCTTCCTTTACAAAACAACGTTAAATATCAGAGCCTAAATGAGATCAGTGTTGGGTTTGGCTGAGATTGTGTTTATCTAAACCACCTAATCTGGACAAAGTCAACGGACTTATCTTGTTGGTGAGAAACTAAAACGTTCAAATACTGGATTTTTTTTGGGGGGGGGGGGGGGGGGGGGGGTTAGAAGTGAAACGGCTGCATTAGAATTTCTGCCAGAGCCCAAATTGATTTAAGAATATTTAATTTACATTTTTTTAAAAGGCACGTATCTAAGATTCATAATAGAAATAAAGACTCACGTGGCATGAGCAGACAGTGATGCAGCACAGACATAAAATGAGGATATGCGTCTGTGTGGTTCATCTTCTTCCGAATCAGATCAAAAACCTGTGTGGCGCTTTTGGTGTCTATGTGTACCTGGAAATAAACAACGATTAAAACTTCTAACATATGTTTACCTTTCAATGGCAGGAGTAAATAAAAGCAGCTCTCTTTCTTACCGACTCGAATCGTTTGGACAAAGCCAGCTCATCCTCGTTCCGCAGCATCTCAAAGTAGTCTAGATGTCTACGAAAGACACGACTGGATTAGAGTGACATTTCAATTATGAAGCTGTCATGCTTATTATTTGATTCCAAATGACTGATGAAGCTTCATTTGAAGAGAAAAACTTTAAAGGATTGTCTGCAATAATCTGTAATGATTTACAGAATCCAGAAATGCTTTAAACCCTCAGTGAGAAACACCTGAGCAGCAAATGTCTTAAACAGAGCAAAAACAAAAAATAAAACAGATTCCTCTGTTAGCTCTCGGTTTGAGACTCGTCATTCCCCCCCAAAAAAAAGGTTTATTCTTTAAAAATTAGCAGTGGGACTCGTCTAAAAAATATTTGAATAAATTAGAGGCGTTGTAATGAATTAATCTTTAATAATCACATTTTAATCGTTTAAGACTATTTGTGCCAAATCAATTATTTTAAATAAAACATATTGTTAGTGAGTATATTTCTTGAACCACAAAGTCTATTTGGTTATTTTGGTCTCATTATAAGGTAACCATTGTGGGATTTGGTGGGACGTATAAATATTAGTAGGGGTGTAACGGTACGCTAAAATCTTATTTGCTACTTGCCTGCTAGCAGGTACTACCTGCTACCAGTACTTCTACCAATTAGAAAACAGAAAGGTAAGAAAGTTGATTTTTTTCTTCCTTCCTCGTCTTCACGAGGAGCTATTTGTCATGATTCATTTAATTGTGGTTGTAGTTGTGTTTGGAGCACGTAAAAGGTCTATATGGTCTTGTAGCCAAGGCTCTGCTGTTTTGTTAAGAGGTGCAGTTTGAGATTTATTGATATAGATGCCATAAATTGTGATGCTAAACTTTTTCGGCCCCCAATCGAGGGGCGCTCATGATTAAAGCAGCAGTAACAATTTAACAGATTGTTTACTAATTAACTCAACATAATTTACATCGAGAGGAGCCAGTTGAGGTGGCTCGGGCATCTGGTCAGGATGCCTCCTGGATGCCTCCCTGGTGAGGTTTTCCGGGCACGTCCAACCGGGAGGAGACCTGAAGGTAGACCCAGGACACGGTGGAGGGACTATGTCTCTCACCTGGCCAGGGAACGCCTTGGGATTCCCCCAGAGGAGCTGGCCCAAGTGGCTGGGGAGAGGGAAGTTTGGGCCTCTCGACTTAGACTACTGCCCCCACGACCCGACTCCGGATAAGCGGATGAAAATGGATGGATGGATGACATGTTAAATTCCCACCCATAATAACTGGAGTAACATCTCACCTGTCTAAAGTTGCGTTTTCATGTGAACGCAGCTTATCGATCACAGGTTGGATCCCCAGCATAAGAAACTCATATCGGAGGTGGATACGGAATTCCAGGCTGGTCTATTTTTGGGGAAAAATATAAACATAGAAAATATTTTTAAATGTAGAACACCTAAGGATGATGATGTCCCAGGAGAAAATGTTTATATATATATATATATAAAATATAATTTACCTCTCCAGCTCCTTGACTCAGCACAGCATTAATAAAGGACATGATGGCTGTTTTCAGGCTGACCTCGTCTCTGTAGCGCCCCGTACTCCGGTCCAGATCATTTATAAGTGTCTGGAAAACATTTCAAGTACTTCAATATACTTATAGTATACTATACTGTAGTATAGGTTGTGTAGTACCTCCATTATCATATGCCACCCACCTGGAAGCGCGTTCGCTCACAGGCGTAACGCTGATAATGCAGCATGGCCTGCAGGATCTTTCTGTGCCCTCCAGGCACCAAGCAAACAGCACCCATTATTTCTAACACTGCCACCTTCGTCTTAATGTTTTCTGTGGCCAGGCTCTGAGCGATGATGTTTATGCTCTCAGAGTGGGCCAGGACGTGGGCGCGGCCTTGCGAGTTGTTCATCAGAGCTTTAATGCAGCCAATCAGAGATGTGTGGATCTGAGATTCTGTGGTGTCGTAGTCCATGCTCTTTAGGAAGTTCAGGACGCACGTCAGGCCATCCAGATCTATGAAGCGAGTGACAAACCTGCAAACAATAAAATAACAGTGAATTTTGTGGATGTTCATTATTGTTTTTATTGACATTTAGAAAGAAAAGGTCAAGCTGGAGACTGGCAGAGTGAGACGTCAAAAGAAGATCTCACCTCATCGGTTGAGTCCTTAAAGCAGTTTTCAAGCTCTCTATAGTTTTGTTTCTTTCTTCCTCATCTTCCTTTTCCAAAGCTAGAAGGGTCTTTCTCTGCCAAAACAAAACAAACCATCAATGCTCTTTTTGTTCAGATACAAAAACAACAACTTCATTCCTCCTACAAGACTTCAGGTCAAACATATGTAAAAAGTTTGAAATCACATTTTCTTGTTGATTTACTACAAGAAGATGAGAGATGATTTTTTTTAACCAAGAAGACAAAATAAAAGTCCATGCTATTACTCACAGCCGCCATTGAATTGAGCTGATCGATATAATATTCTGGCCAGCTAGTTGCACTTTTGTTCTCTTCCTGTTCCTGAAAAAAACAGAATCATGAATAAATACTTTATTTACTGGAGGAAAACATTCACGTGAGGCTGAATTTGTTGCACGGATATTAAACCGATCTGAATTCAGAGCTGCGTCAGGTTTTCTTTCTGGTTCATGTCACTTGTCTGACTTTGCCAAAGACCAGCTTCAAAGAATAATTAGAAACTTTCCCTCCTTCCTCCCACTTTCCAGATCAATAAGGCTTTGAAAGACACCAGCAGAAGCACCGGGCCCGGCTCTGCCAGCTGACAAATATAGCTCTAAATGGAGCGAGAGCTCAAAGTAGGACAACACACATACCCAACCCATTTCATCTTCCAGGGCTTCGGTAAAAGTGCAGAGAGAGAGAGAGAGAGAGAGAGAGAGAGAGAGAGAGAGAGAGAGAGAGCGAGAGAGAGAGAGCGAGAGAGAGAGAGCGAGAGAGAGAGAGCGAGAGAGAGAGAGCGAGAGAGAGAGAGCGAGAGAGAGAGAGCGAGAGAGATTGAGAGAGAGCGAGAGAGATTGAGAGAGAGAGAGATTGAGAGAGAGAGAGATTGAGAGAGAGAGAGATTGAGAGAGAGAGAGATTGAGAGAGAGAGAGATTGAGAGAGAGAGAGAGAGAGAGAGAGAGAGAGAGAGAGAGAGAGAGAGAGAGAGAGAGAGAGAGCGAGCGAGCGAGAGATCTGCTTGAGGAAATCTAGAGATTAACAAATGATTGTTAAAACTGAGGATTAGGAACGCAGCCCGACGTGTGTCCAGATTAATCTCTTCAAAGGCGTGTTGGTCTGACAAGTGCATAAAAGCATCACTTGTAACTAAGAGAATCTTACAAACATAAGAGAAGAAAACTTGGCCCTGACCTTGAACATAAAAAGCCTCCTGACTCACGGTTGGGAGTCTCGCTCCATTAAGCACAAATGAACTGTGACTGTCACAACCTAATTGAGCAGACTGCACTGAGAGGAGCTGTGGGTTTTAGCCCGTCCAAGGCCTGATCCTGCTGTTCCACTCATGACCAGTGCCATCTTGACCAGGCAGCTGCTGGAAAATGTCCAGTCCGTTAGAGGAGCAGGCGCAGAGGTGGGCCCTCTTTCCTTTCAGTGTTGATCTTTTACCTCGGATGTCTGCGGGACGCCGTTTTACCACCGTTTATTCAGGGTAGAGGAGGGCTGAAAGCTCCGAGTTCAGATAAAGGGGAATTTATTTTCTCATCTTTCAGGGAAAACAAGGATCAAAGACGCTTTGGGAAACAGGAATCGGTTTCTACTTTCAAGTAGGACAGTCTGCTTGAAATAGAAGTTAGGTCACAGTGTATTCCTCTCTAAGTTTTTAATGAAACCTAAGTAGAAGATCTCTGTTAACAACAACCAGATCAGTGAATCTTCCATTTGGCAGGTGATGTAGCCTTAAGGACCGCTGACAAAAGGCAGGAAGAAGATTGATTCTCTGCAAGATGATTTCATCCACTCAGGTGTCCGGCCAAACCAAACAGCTGGAGCTCTGACGGGCTTATCTCCACCACATCCAGGCTCACTTCTAAAGCCAAGAAATTACTGGTAGAAAAAAAGAAAACACCCACATCAGTGTGGGTTTTCAGTGCCCTGATAGTGACACCACCTTTTTCCCCATCAACCCCTACAACCCCCACCCACAGCTATCATAAAACAGCTGCACCTGTGGAAGTAAAGCCTTCCTGTTTGCCTTGGACAACCGAGTACTTCCTTCCCCCCCCCCCCCCCCCCCCCCCCCCCCCCCCCCCACACACACACACACACAGTTCAGATAGTGAGTTTGAATCTGTTTGGGTCAGAGCCAGAGCTTGATGCAGAGTCAGCAATACTTGTGCATTTCTGTCTTTCCTCCCACCCTCCGTTCTGCAGGTCGATGCAGCACTTCCAGCTTTGATTCATCTAACCCCCCCAACTGCAGAGACTGTAAAACAAAACTGAAGCATTTAAATTAAAATAGATGCATCTCCTTTTTTAAACCAAGAAGGGAGGCACGGTGTTAAAATAAAGAAAGAAATGTTATACGTTTACTATCCTCTCGTCATTATTTATCTTTTTGGGACTGGCTGGTTTACGGAGGTTAGAGCCAAACATCTGTGCTTCCAGTGTCTTCATCCAAAACCATACAGAGACAAGCATAAAGACCGGCTGTGACGCAGCTTCTTAAGCCTCCCGTCACTTTAATTTACCCTGCAGTATCAGAGAGTTACTATAGAGATTACCTGTCAAAATAAATACACATTCCTGGCTCACATACGTCTCTTTAAAGGATTATTATTTGCTTTATTACAGGCAAATACATCTGTTTCATGATTAATCAAAGTTCCTGAGTCTGGCTCCAGAGTGGTAAAACAAGGATTCAAAGTAAAACTTGTCAAAACAAGCTCCTGAACTTTACTTGCAACGCTGCGCTTAACTTGACATCTTTCTAGAAGGTTGATCCTTTAGACCCGGGCTATTTGGGTCCACTGCCCTGATTGTTTTAGCAGTTTCCCTGCTCTATCACACCTGATTCAGCTGTTCTCAAGGTCTTCGCTAGCCTGTTTATTACCCCAATTCAAACCAGGTGTGTTGGTGCAGGGAAACATGAAAACATGCAGGCAGTAGCCCTCAACGACCATGAGACACTGATGCACTGAAGGCAAGGTCGTCCAGTCTACATACTTCAGACAGGATATCCTACACACTCACAAAAAATGCCTTGGAACATGAATGTGAGGCTTGCTCTGACCTAAACGAGTGTTTTACTGTTTTTTTAAAGAAAAGAGAAACAGCTGAGATGCTTTTTCTCTGGAGGGAAGGGCAAAATGAAACATGACACTATGGAGCAGCAGAGAATGTTATGACTACACGCATCAATTGAGGGGACATGTGTAATACCTTCAAACATTACTGAAAAAGCTTTGCTTCTAGGAAATGTTTGTGTCTGGTAAGTAGTTCTAACAACGAGACATCAACCTTCTAGTAAAGGAAAAAACTTTAATTTAGCTTCCAGATTCGGACAACTGCTGCTGTGTGAGTGAATTATCTGATAAACAGCAGTAGTTAGCCTCAAAGCTAGCTTTGGTAACACTTCTAGCTGGAATTTCACAATAATTCTGCTAGAGTCACCATGAAAAGTAAAGCTTCTTTTGAGATTAAAATAGTTTGTAACTTTCCCCTCAAGTAGGCTTTAGTTATCTGTCCAGTCAGAACACAAGCCATTTAAACACCTATTGACAACAGAAAATGAATGAAATGCTCATAATTTTTACACAGAAACTCACATGTAAACGATCTGAATTATAAGTAACTCTATAAATACAAAGAAAGGTAGCAAAGGTAAATCCATTTCTTTGATCCAAACCGCAGACAGAAGGAGATGCTTGTTTTAGCCGAGTTTGGCTGGAAGAATATTGTTTCTAAGCTAACTGCTCTTTTGCAGTAGGCTCATAAAAGGTCATTTAACCTACACGACAAGCTTCTCACTATGTTGCTACAAATAAAAGGATTCACTAACTATTAAAATCCCAAACGCTGAAACTTGCTGCAGTCAGCAGCATGATAAGGGCTGTTTATTGTTAGCACTATGTATTTGTGAGGCGTTCAGGCACACTACTGGAGATTGGGACACACAATGTTTTGTTTTGGTCTTCTGATAAATGAGTTTAAACTTCTTTATGTTTTGTTTCACAGCATGTCTTTTCTTTTCAGTAGTCATCCAACAGACCAAAATATAAAACTGGTTTGGCATTATCTTGCAGAAAAATGAAGGACTTCACTCTGTATTCCAGATCTTTCTTTTGCTAACTTAATTGTACACAGACAAGAGTGGTCTGTGCCAACCTTCACATCTCACAACTGGCAGAAGAGTAAATAAACAATTTTGGCAAAAGGGTCAAACTATTCTTTTAGGCTAGAATTGCACAATTATATTTTGGACTTATGTAAATAATTCTGTTAGAATTAAGGATGCTCTGATCAGATCACGTGATATGAAATCAGGTCCGATATTGGGTGGGAAAAACCTAACCCTAACCCTGACAAATACAGAAATAAAGAAAATTATCAATGATTTAAAATGACTTAAGGACAACTCTAGTGTGTTCTCCTTTTTTCTTAAGGTTGGTTTATGCTTGACGCGTCCGCAAGGTCCGCACGGCTCCGCGCGGAAAAGTTGCGTCATTTTGCGTCATTTTAACAACCACGCCCCTCCACCGCGCCTCCGCACGGCCCAAAATTTCCGCAACGCGCACCTCGGAAATTTTCTAACCACGCGGACGGACAGACGCGGAAAAACATGGCGTACCGGCAAGAACTAGTATGGCAGAGGTTCGTAAATACAGACATTTGTATGATTCAGCTCTCAGAGATCACCGTGATCAACATGTTGTTAATAATTCTTGGAGAGAAATAGCTCGCACTGTCGGAAAAGACGAGGACGCTGTTAAAAATTCTGAAATGCCGTGTTGTAAACAGTAATTTCTACTTCTACTATGGTGTAGTGTTGGATGCATGCTGTAGAGCTCAATGCTGCCCCGTTCAGTTTGGGAGAATATTGGCTCACCGCAGAGACAAGCCGCACGAACCATAAACACTGCGAGTTGTGAAGCGTGTTCCATCCGCGAGCCGCATCACCAAGCGGAAAGTGGACACGTCAAGCATAAACCAAGCTTAAATGCATTCTGAAGTATAGGATCGGGACTCGGTATCAGCAGATTCTTAAAATCCAATGGCTCAGAATCGGATTGGGAGCAAAATAAACGTGATATTTTTTTCCCCCTTTTTGCAATTGTTAAAAATGGTTCTATGGAAGCCCATTCTCGCCATTCTGATAAAAAATTATCTCATAATGATGAGATAGCAAAGTCATAATTATGAGGTATTTATTTTACATCAGAGTGGCAGGGATGGGCTTCCATAGTTCTCCCGATATAACAAGATGCTTGTTTAGTTGTTCTGAGGTTTAAACACCAAATGGCCTTTTCCTCTCCCCAGATTCAACTTTTAAGAACATTTGTTAACTACGCATTTTTTATATATATATTTTAAATTTTTGTTCTTGTGATTTTTATCTTGAGAAGCGCTACATAAAAGATAGTTTTCTTTCTTTCTTTTAAACTAGCTAAGCTGAAATATTGCTTTACTGTTTGTCATATAAAAACAACCTTGTAAAAAATAAATAACACTGTTGAAACACATTTTTAAATGATGTCTGTTGTGACAAAGGACTTGCACATTTGTAGATGTTGATCTTTTACCTTCTTCTTGCTGCAGTAGATTTGCCATTTCTTCTCTGCGGTTAGAGCAAACATGGCTTCCCTGTGCTTCTCAGTGAGATCAAGCTCATCCTGCCAAATGGAAAGAAAAAAAAGCTAAGCATTAAAAAAATTCCTCTAAATGTTTAACTTGTACTCCTCATTCTTCATGGATAACTGCATGGTAACATTTACAGCTTGGTTACGGAGCATCATTCTCCAAAAGTACATTTACATTCAGGCTGCAAATGGCATCATGTGATCAAGTTGGGAAACACATCAGTTTTCTTCAAAACAAGAACAAGTGCCAAAAAAGGCTTTTATTGCTAGCTTGTGTCATCAGGAACTTGGTGTGATTGGGAATTGAATCAGATCCCTTCTTGGCTGCAGACATGTGAGTAATATGGAAAATGATAAGGCGTGGTTTTGCGTGTTCAACATGTGGTGACGAACATCTGGAAACAACATGTGTCACGGCGCATAAAGGCTGAAGTGGGGAAGTGTTGGACCCAACACCAGAGCCAGAGCGAGAAACGGAAATGCATCAGAAAGAGCATCTTATCTGAGATGTGATTGCGTCATTTCATTAGCTCCGTGTGATAAGTCATGGGAAAGCCTATTAGCTCTTAAAAATAAGAAATGACTCACTATTTAATTTCCTTGCATTAGCCTTCTTTTGCATCCACCTGATGCTCAAACGTGACGTCTACTGGGTGAAAAGAGAAGCACGTGGCCGTTCTCTAAACAGAGTCGCAGAAAGAGTTGTCTTCACACTAAGCTTTCTTAATTACCTCTTCATAAAGAATTGTGGACAAAAACAGGCAATTAGCAGACGGAGGAGGCCACGACATACAGAGCTCCTGAATGAGGCCCATTGAAGTGCTAAATTTTGTGCTTACATTACTTTGGCAACGACAAGAGATGGAATGGGGCCAGACGAGAGAGTTGAACGTGACAAATCGGAAGTGACAATGAGGAGGAAAAGAAAAGCACGCTGGCCTGGTTACTCTTGAGATAAACTAACTGTAAATTAGGGAATGACAGTTGGCTAGTTAATGCATTATGAACAAACAGACTGTGTAAACAAAGGCCAAAGCTTGTAATGTCCTCACATCCTTTTAAATAAATTTAAAGATCTTTCAAAGCAAGAATTTCAGGAAATATCTCTGTTCTTCCGTGAACCCTCTCTGATCACTTAATAAAACCGTCTCTGTGCTGAACTGTGTGGACAAAAGGATTAGCATCACGTTTGAGATTTGCATCACCCAGCTCAAATATGTGATTTACTGGTCTGAAACAGCTGAGCAAGCTGTAACCATTTAGAAACACAGACATTTAACATCTAGTCACAAAGAGCCTAAAAAAATATAAATGCAAGCTTTCACCAGATTTGTCCTTAAATTTAAAAAACATAACACTTTAGACGCTGTAACTTTCAAGTACTTTTCTGGAATTCATCTGGTCATTGCCATTTATTACTTTTTCACTGAATATGATTATTGTTTTTTATATTATAACCATTTTTATCCTTTATGTAAGTTTTAGGTTTGTTGATGTTTTGATTTGACCAGCTTTATTTGCTGTAATAGTCACTAGACACATAAAGCTGTGTTATTAATCAAGAAAACGGGTGGAAGAAGAAGAATGTCGTACCACGAGCTCAGAGAACATGTTATCCAGCTCATCAGGTCCGGGCATCGGCAGGGTGGGCTCCATGCTCTGAAGAGCAAAGTCCTCCCGTAGCTTGTAGGTGATCTCAGGGTGATCGCTGCTGTTAAAACAGCAGAACATGAAGGAGAGCCCTCCACGACTGCCGCCACCTCCCCCACGTTTCCGAGGAGCCATGGCTGCAGGACGAGTATCACTGGTCAGGTAGGGAGGATGGGAGGCTCCCTCTGGGCCTCTTTAGGCCTCCCTCCACCTCAGAGTTTGGCCTCCGTCAGAGAGCACTGTGGACACAAAGTGAGGACAATGTCAACATCAATCTCTCTGGATTGCCCTTTTAAACACAGGTATTCACAAAAACTAACCACAACAAGAAAACATATAACTGGGTCACATGGTGCACGAGTGGTGCAGCTTAATAATACATCACAACGTGTCATCATTACATTTCAGTTTGTTTGCAATTTACTCTCACTTCATTCACAATTTTGTCACAAACCCATCTCTACATCATCTTCTACTTCTTGCACTTCTGACTCAAAGGGCCTGAACTGAGTTTAAGATGAATTCCAGTCACCTGTGACTCTGCTGAGAGAGGAAGGTTGTTGCATGCGTTTTCGGAACATGCAGAAATGCAAAAGTGAACACCTGCAACTCACACAAGTAATCTGAGAACATTTTGAGACATTGTGGAATCTCCCTTGCAAATGTCGCTCACAATTAGTCTCGGACAGTGGTAGCCTAGTGCGGTACTGGCTTAAATCATTACTCCAAGCCAAGCCAATAGGTTTGGTTTAAAACACGCTGCTTTAACTTTACTGATCAACAGGGGCAGATTTAGGACTGAAGAAGATCCGGGGCTTAACACGCACGCACGCGCGTGCGCGCACACACACACACACACGTACTAGTCAACATCATACACGTCTTGTACCACATAATTTTTAATCTGAAGCTACATATTAAGCATTTTCAGGGCAGAGTATTGATCCTGTGTTTAGTGTGAGATGATAGTAAATATTCCCTTTCTTTCTCCAACAACTTTACCTGATAAGCTAACTTTAGGCAAACCAGCAGCACAACAAATATTTTCAAATAGGACTCACAAACCTGAGTCAACACCAGTCTCATCAAAGCTGGGGTTCTGTCGCCATACTTTTGGTCTAAAAAACATCCTTATGTCCATCTTCACTCATGCGTTTCAGGCAGAGACTGTAGAAGAAGCCGGCTACTGAAGGGCTTCTTCTTCAGTGGTGGAGGCTCAGGCAGGCTGTATACAAACTACTGCCAGCTGCTCCCTCTCTGTTGGACTTTGGTACTGCATGTTACTTCCGCGATTTAGATCCGGGGCTTTCCATGAAACATCCGGGGCTTCAGCCCAAGTAGCCGGGCCTAACGCCGCCCCTGCTGATGAACTCCCTTTTGCAGAAGCTGACATGATTGGGTTTGGTCTTCTGCAGCTGCTATTTTACCAGTAATAAAGGGAATGTCTGCAATTCCTTGCTGGATTATGGCACCATCTGCCTTGTGCATTTCTCTTGGATGAAAAGACATACATCAGCTGTCATAAATGGCCAACATTTCAGAGGAGGGTTGAGCAAATCCCAAAAAATTTTATAATTAATAATAAAAAAAATAGCACAGCTTGGTTTAATTCATAAAGACTGCCAAATGTCTAAGACTTGTGTCATGGTGTTTGGTTAAAACGATTTAACTTGCTTGGGGGTAACTTGGTAAATCTGTTGCTAAAGATAAAAACTCACAAAATGAGATAAAATTTTAAACGTCCTCACTACTAAACACCTTTATTTGACAGATATCTGAAGAAATACCCGAAATGCATCAGGGTGAGCTGTCCAACTTGCTGGCCCTCTATTTGACCTATTTATTTTTAAATCAAGTGCAAAGGACCTTTCAGCTGTTTGGCAGGTAAAACTGGCAGATCAGCCTCTCAACCGCTCACCCTACAGTCTCTCTCCTTGCTGTGACCAGAGGTGAAGCCGAGCATCATAAACCACAGAGGATGTGCTGACCTGCAGAAATTTCTGGGTGCCTTATCTCGATGACCACATTCATTCAACCTTTTACTAAGACTTGCTGTAAGTCAGAGTCAGGATGATGATCAGCGAGATGCAGCTCTAAACTAGTCATGTCTAGTCAGGTTGTTGGCTATAGGTAGAAATGAAGTTGCTGAGGGATAAAACTATAAGTTTTTCTACCCAAAAGGAGAAAGTAAGGACATTTTCTGCGGTGACTTCATCTTAGTTCAATATAAAAATGTACATTTTGTGGTTCACAGCACCTTAATAAACCAATGAAATCCTTTTCTCATTTTAGGCAGTTCTGGTTGTTTCCATCCACCAGCAGTGTATTTATATTAGCAAACAGAGATTAGAGCTTCAAGGAACCATTTTTACGCTACAAGGAAAATCTTTAACAGCACTAAAACTTTAAATTATTTTACCCTTTTATTTTACATAAAACAACTAGTAAATAGCTCTCAAAATAAGTACAGGTTTACAGGTTTCAAAGCTGTAAATATATAATTGTCTTTCCAAATCTTAATAAAAAACTCCAATCTCAGATTAATCTGTGTGCATTTAAACATAAATAGTGTCTTGACTCCTGCAAAAATTGCTAAAAGGCATGAATCCAAAAAAGGAAATAGGTTAAAAAACTCACCATCTTTAAGTATTTGAAAACAAAATAACATCATCAAACACAAAGATATTCTAATGGTACCCACATAAGCGTCATCTGCTGTGTAAGGTAAGAAAATGTACTCCTCTTCTGATAATCCCACATAGAGTCAAAAACAGAACATTTGGCATTTTGCTCATTTAAGTCATCAGAAATAACAGTTGCTCCTTACCAAGCAAGCCACGGAGGTTACGGAAGTTACGCAGCTAAACCAACAAGTGATTTCTAAAAATTGTCCTCTGAGCATTGAGATGTTTTAACTTTTGTAAAAAGGCAAATTGTCTAACTAAAAATTGAAAAAATGTATTCCAGGCAGAACTAATTTCTTACTCAAATACAGACCTCACATGTACTAAAATATACTCTGAAGTGAACGAAACACACATTGGGCACTGAAGAGCAGAGTTGCCTGCGGCCGATTGGCCACACGTGGGATAAAGTACACAACAGCTCACTTTTACTTACACCCTGAATAGTGTATTTATTTTGACACATCCTTGAGGTTTTAAAATCGACTACCGGAGGGCTCGACAGCAGCTGCTTGCCTTCACGCTCACCATCTACTCTAGCATGAAGGGAAGAGGCCCTTCAAATGCCTCTATGACCATATTAGTCCACAGAAGTACCCGATCCTTTCCATTAACCTGAGCTTGTTGTAAACGTTGTTTAAATGTGGGAGACAATAATCTCCATCCAGGAGCAGTGACAGGTGCACCATGACTCAGACAATACAGGTTTTAAAACACAGACTGTGTCACTGCAGACACATTTGTTTGTGTGCTGTAACTATTTAACCTGCGGGACCTGTGTGCTCAGACATTAGCCCTCAGAGTTTGTCCGACAGTCGGTCAAGGTTACCAGCAAAACAGGCTTGTTGAAACAGGAAGACATTCCTCTCATAGTCAGGTGAGCTCCGTGACCGTGATCAAAACAATTACACTAAACCTTCCATGTCACCTCTTCACACTGGGAGAGCATAGATCATCTTTAAACTCTAGCTTATAAATGTGCGTCCGAACCGTGTAAGTGGGACTAATGATGTTTTCAAGAAATCGGGCATGTTTGAAATGTGATGGTGATGTCATGTAACATTTGTGCTTCTATATAATCCAGATGAATAAAACTGTTTATCCAATCATAACCTGAGTCTTGGACTGGACTACAGATAAGGCAGATGCTTACACACTCATTCTCAGACCCTGTACACGCGTATCTGTTTTTTCTCTACAGTTTGGGCTGTCATCCACATAAAAGGAAATAAACGGCACTAAAAAGAATCAAAACTCAGACCAAAGTGGAAATATGAAAAATTCTCAGCTGTCAGCAGTTGCTTGCGAACATAAATATAGAAGTATTTTATTTATTTATTTTTTAACCTGTCCCGAAGCAGACAGAATTGTTCATCTGGAAGTTATAACATGCCAGAGCTGTTTATCTCTACATCAAGAGGGATGTGGGATTTTGCTCATGTTAAGCAGTAACTTTTTATAATGTTTGTGGTATGTTAGACCACATTCGCTTACGTACCAGAGCGGACAGGCAGGGAGAAAATGGGCGCACACGAAAAACGGGGAAAGGGGGGGGGAGACGGGAATGCATGTAAATACAATAACCACGGTTTTGGGTTTTACAATGTCACTGCCTGCAACATAAATGCTCTGACATCACATGTGTGCCCTATGTTTACACTAGCTAGTAAGTCAATTACTGCTCTATGTAGAAGACCACAGGCAAAGGATGACATTAAAGACAGTTATTGCCCATCATCGTCTTTTGAAGACCTCCATGGACAAAGACACCAACGATTTAGGGAACTATTGCCACCTGCAGGCCTGGCATGCCGTTGACTGTTATTCACAATGCACTGGGTTTTTTCTACTGAAAACAAGGCTGTGTGTCACCAAGGTTTTTTCCTGGATTAACGGGGGAGGATATTCAGTTTTACAAAACTCAGCTACGTGTGTAAATGGCCTTACTGTCTGCTCATATTCAAACACTCCTCTCTTTGTTACAGCGAGGTTTCTGCCAGTAGATGGTCATGTTGTTTTGTTGACCATGTGGTTTGGCGGATGACCTGGCAGAAATCCAGACTGTAAAAATATCCCAGTGTTTGTCAAGTGTGTGTATGTGTGTGTGTGTGTGTGTGTGTGTGTGTGTAAAAGCCCGTGCATGGTGCTGGTCCAAGACCTCCCTATTACAAGTGTAACTGTCAGGTCTGCAGGAGGAAAGGCAGAAGTTCAGAAGAGCGTCTTTAAACTAAACACAGACGAGCTCACGCTATTAAATATGTGCAGAAAAGAATGAAGAAGAGCAAAGATGACCTGACACTTAAACAGCTGCCTTCTTCCAGCTCTCCTCTCTTCTTTTTCTCTGTCCATTTCAATCCCACTTTAACAAATATAAACAGAAAGATACTGCTCTTATAGATGGGAGAATAGTAAAAATAAATAATGTGACCTGGATGTACTTGAAGCTAAACTGGATGGTGACTAAATGAAAGGGTAAAATAATAATTTAAAGGAATAAATTCTAAAAGTGACAATGTGATCTAATAAAATGTCCTAATTATTTTAATTTGTGTATT